CTACATGCCTCATGTACCGTGGGGATGTCGTGCCAAAGGATGTAAACGCTGCTGTGGCAACGATCAAGACGAAACGCACAATTCAATTCGTTGACTGGTGTCCAACAGGCTTTAAGTGTGGTATTAACTACCAACCTCCATCTGTGGTACCTGGTGGTGATTTGGCTCGTGTGCAACGAGCCGTAGCCATGATCTCAAACACGAGCGCCATCGCTGAAGTGTTTTCTCGCATTGACCACAAGTTTGACCTGATGTATGCGAAACGTGCATTTGTTCACTGGTTTGTGGGTGAAGGAATGGAAGAAGGTGAATTTTCAGAGGCACGTGAAGATTTGGCTGCGCTAGAGAAGGACTACGAGGAAGTATCAGCTGAGACTGCTGAAGGTGATGGTGAAGACGAGGAGTTTGGTGAAGAGTACTAAGTCTGTCCATTGTTCTGGTGTCTTGAAACTCGGTATAAAGTTGGCATTTTTTTCGCGATTTAGTATTTTGTAGACAATTTGATGACGTATACAAATATTTAATTTGCAGTGTCAATTTTTAACAAAAAGTTTCATTAATGTTTACACTGCGGGACTGTACAATTTATTTCTTGGACTTGTCCCAGAATAGTCGTTGATGATGACAGTTGGTCTGTTCAAACATAACAAAGTCATTGCTGACAACAGTTTGTAAACATGTTCGATGGGTATTTTGATGATTATGAACATGCCAAAGAGAATGCGTTGAAAGCCATCGACGAGTATGCGAGCGCTGTTGATCCAGGTCAACTGTTTTTTGCAACATTACTCTATTTTGATACAACTAAAATGATTTTACTCAGTCAAGCGCGAAGAGCTTGTTGTGATTGCAAAAGGCTGCGTTGACGAAGTCGAGCGATATGTAAGAATGTATACAATTATCAATACCATTTGATAGATTTATTTATTATGACGAATTTGCTGATAGATTCGCATTCTGGAGAACGAAGCGAAAAATGGTTCGACTCCTGTTGCAAGAAAAAAAATGATGGAACAGGTGCGCAATTGCAAAACGAATTGGACCAAATTGAAGACTTCGCTTGAAAAAGAAATTTTGGTGGGCGATGCACGTGCTGGAAAATCTCCTGATTCCTGGAGAGATGCTCAAACGGTAAGATTTGAAATATGATTGTTACCATTGAGTTACTGATTGGGTACTGTAGTTGGAGCAAATGGAGCGCTGCGCTGAGCGCATTGATAGGTTTTCAGTTTTTTTATATTATGTGCTGGAACTTTTTGACTCATCATTATTAAACATCTTGGTAGAAATGGACGTCATCTAGATGAGGCACAGCGCACTCTTGCTGACACTGAAGCCATTGGTACATACGTTCATTTTTAATGATGTCATTCCTTACAAGATTGTATTGCTGTCTTTTATATCGATAGCGGAGAATGTTGCTAATAACTTGCTGCAGCAACGCAATCAGCTGGAGCACACTGAGCTTAATGTTCGTTATTGTCTCTCACTCGTTTACATAAAAAACGGGTGTCATACTTGTTGTTGATGCGAGTAGGTTGCACAAACGCACGAAGACACCGTAGAGGCAAAAGGTTACATACGATCTATGGCGTGCAAAGCGCTGGTCAGTCGAGTGTTGCTGCTATTTGTGATTGTGGCACTAGGCATTGCTATTATTCTGGTATCGTACTACAAATGGTATCCGCGCAATAAGAAGGATCAACTCGGCATCTTGCCTGATGTGAACAATTCTACATCCAATAGTACCAGTACCTAATTTTTTTTCATATGCTTAAACAATCCGAGAAAGAAAGTTTTACCGACACCAGCTGCAACATTAATTTTTTAATTTAGAACATAATGTATTTCACTTTGTAAATTTATTTACACGAATTTACCCGCTATTTTAAAATTTGTAAGCGCACCGGCAATATTAGACCAAACATCCATAGTCTGGTGAGATCTGCAGGAACACGTCGTCAAAAAATCTGTCGCTGTTGTAGTCCACCTGGCTTGCATGAGCCGTAAACTCTCCATCTGCATCAATCAATGCTCGTACATCCGCATACTTAATTTCCGAAGGCAAAAAAAGATCTGCACCATAAAAAGCACTTGAAACGTAGTCTGCTCCATATAATGTCTTGTCATTAGGTGACGTTTTTAGCACATCTAAGAACTCATAACATTGCGCCCTAAAAGTTCCACTCATATCATGGTGCGTCAGACCTTCACTCTTCATCGATAAGTGCGCAGGCCGTCGAACTTGCGATTGAGAAGATCCGGCTGGAAGGACGTCACTCAACGTCTTATTATCTTCGTCAGTTGGGCTGACGGAACAATCATGCAAGCTCTGTGCATCGTTACCTCGCGGACTCGATGCAAACGAGTCGTTCCCATCATCTGACTGGACATCCTCATCGTCAGTCAAAAAATTGGGCCTGACACGATCGGACGGGTTAAGTCCGTAAGTCTCTGGCGCCAGAAGTCTCTCGAGTTGGCGCGTAAACGTAGTATATTGAGCCTGTTGTTTGTCACTTAAGGCTGCTTGCTCTTGACATCGATGAAGCTCTTGTAGCGAGCGTTTGAGACTCCGCACCTTGCGGTACGGCCAATGACGAATCCCGATCGCTCGACAACGTTTCTTAAACGCTGTGGCACGCACACCAAACTTCTCAGCCGCCACTTTCAGTGGTAAATGAAAATACAGACTAAAAGCCTCAAAATTGCTTGCTGGTGACATCGACAGGAACGCACTCTTCCTCGCAGCGTGGACGCGCGCTGCGTGGCCGTCGGTCATGACTGGACTTTGCATATAAACGTCGTCGAGATCGGGACAAAGTTGTAAGTTTAGAGGTGGTAATGTTTCAAATTGATGCAACATTGGAGCACAAGAAGAAGTGATGAGTTGCTTGTGCCCGATAGAGCGCAAGTAAAAATGATCATAGAAAGAAAGATCGCAAAAACCATTTCCACGGTTCGTAGGCAAGATACTATGCAACTGTTTACGGAAAACCAGGCGGTGAAACGGCAAAGGCTGAACTCACCGTTGGAAATTGAGCCCGCGATTTTGTATAATGGTTTAAGCAGTATAGTAAATGTCAACGGACACCACGAAGCGTGCAAGAATAAATGCATCGTGGCACTGCAGGAAGTGTAAACAAAGGTTTTATAGCGGAAAGAGCGTTGAAAAAAACAGTTTCGCATTTTTAAACTTCAACGCAATGTGCCTGAAAAGGGGCTGATGTTACGCGATCAAAAAAATGAGTTCACGTTTTGATATGATTTTTGTATACTATACCTTCAAACTCGGAAGTGCGGCCATTGTCACCCGTAGCAACATATTTTACTATGATCGCTCTATATGAACTAAATTCAATCGAAAAAAAGTGTCCGCCAGAATTGGTGGCTCGTCCGTGCTGCCTTTGTCTACCTCGGTAAAGGTGACACTTCTGCTGAATGCAAATTAATGGCATCGTCTTGTTCACCCATTTTCCCTTTAAGCATTGTAATCATCTGGTGCTTGCCATTGCGAGCGGGAAACACTTTGATCGTCAGCAGCTTAAGCACCTGATTTTTCGTCATCAGTTTCTCCACAAGTTCTTGCCGTTCAGACGTACTCAGACGATTCTCAGATCGCTTTTCCCCACTACTGATCACCGGTGGAAGCTGCGAGACGTACGCAGTCTCCTTGCGAACGTCTTTCACACATTCGCGAAGAATTGCTTCAAGCTCCGAGTGGCTTTGTAGTTCTAACGTATATGCTGCACGCACTTGCTGTAGCTTTCGTCTTTCCACCTCTAATAAGCGCTTCAATCGCTTTATCACCTCCTTGTACCGATTATCCTGATTTGAGACCGTCATTGTGTTCAGTTCTGCCGTGTTTGGACGCTTAGCTAGCGCGACAGTAGCCATTGACTCGCAATGACGCATTTTGGGCAGTGAACTGGTAGAAGCCGAGGGAAGAAATGTATGGCGGAGTGGCTGCCCTTGCACAGAGTTTAGCTCCTCCAATTGCTGACGCAGACTTCCAACTTCTAGACGCAATGACGCATTGTCTTTCTTGACTGTCACGAGCTGTTTGATAAGGAATTCACGATCATTTTCCTGTGTGGCAAATTGTGTCTTGAGTCGTTGATTCTCACGTGTCAAGCTTTGATTCAAACGGTCGAGACGGTCAGCCAAATCTTTCGTCCACTCGACTTCATTTTCAAGATGTTTGCTTTTCTCAATCCACGCAGAAGCTCCATCATCAGTCCTATTTTTCTCTGATTCCAGCTCCTCTTGCACACTAAACAATCGTGCCCGAAATGCTCGTAAAAGGTCTTTTTCTTGCTCTGCATAACACAAAGTCAGCACTTAAATACAATTTTCACTCTCATTTGATGCTTGCTTGCCTTGCAAAATTTCGCTCGTTCGATCTTGCACTTGATTGACACTGACCAAAATATCGCGGTGCATTGAGCGTACGCGCTCCATAGCGGCCTCCAAATTGTCTTCTTTGCTCTTTTTAGCTCGAGAATCAGAAAGCAGTGCCTCTAACTCACCAATTCGAATTTTGTACTGCCGCTCTCGTCGAACGTAGCTTTCCTAGAAGTTCGCTGAGTAAATCAACATAAATCGATCGACATATTTTAAAATGAACGCACCTGTCTCCTAGCAAGCTCTTCATTTAATTGGGTAACACTGTCCTTCCTCGGCTCACTTGCAAATCTGTACTCATTCAGCGATGAAGTTGCTGTGTTTTGGTCTGCGACGAGATTCCTACCCGAAATTCTGCTGCGAAAGTTTTGTATGTTGTCGTCAGATACACTAGACTGCTGCAGTGTACATGTCAACAAGCCCACTATCACCTTAACTAAGCATAAAAAAATGTTTACCCTTCGTCCTAGCACTGGTGGTTTGATCACTTTGCTGCCTCTCATATTATCTGCAAGTTGCAGGTAACGTTGCCTACAGCATTGAGAGCTAGGTACCTTGTTCTGACTTACTTTATCATCGTGCTCAAAAAGTATTTTCGGACACTTGCTTCCTAAAAATAAGACATTTCTGGCATCGTGACGACTGGAACACGCAAGTCAGCATATTAACGTTTACAGTCATTCTAATTGTTGTATTTACGACGTCAAGCAGCCACAGTCGCTTCTGCAGTCTACCATTCGCTTATATTAATGTTCATTACCGCAATTGCAAAGGGTCTGTAGTCAATTGAGTCTCCAGTGCCTGCAACTCGCGGCATATTTTTGAAATTGCTGCCAAATGATAAGGTAGAGGCGATTGCCTTTCCATTGTGATCGGGTGCATCGTCAAATAGGTTAAAGCGTGAAAATCCCGCAAGATAATGGTCATCGTACTCGATGATGCCGACTGATTCACGTTTTCATTTTTGGCATCAAATTTTTTTTCAAACAGTACAAGTACAAGCGCCGCTTTAAGTATTCTCGCCTCACGCTTGTGAGTAAGCAGATGCTGACCGGGCATTAACGTTGTTGACTTCCATGCGTCGCTGCCTGTATAATATACGGCACGACTGCTGTCGCGAGCCGGTATATTTTCCTGAGGAGAAATGACAACGAATCCGACCTCGTCGGAGGCATATAGGGTCGTTGAAGACAGACTTTCGTGTAACTGCACCTCTTCACACGACACTGCAGTCAACTGGACAAGCAAAATGCGTGAAAATAGCGACTTGTGCGTTGGAGAAATTAACTTTGCTAACCGATTTGATCGCAACTGCTTCCATGCTATTTGCTCTTCGTCGTCCAAATTCGATGCACCAGCCAAACCTGCCAATCGCGTGATAACAAGCTCACTTATCTCGTTGAAAAGCAAGTAAAATTCCACAATGTTCTGCATCATTTTGAACAATGCGTCTTCAAGACCCTGACCATTTTCTTTTTCCTTGACCGGAAAGACGTGCGTTTCAAGAACTGACCCAACGGCATCAGTACAACTGCAAGCAATCCACTTACGATCTTGTGATAACAGATAGCTAACGTGAATGAAAGGCCGCTCGGTTTGATCGTCAGGGTCCAGGGAAGATGTCTTTGTACGCCAGTCTGCTAAGTGGTATAGCCTTTCGCTTAAAAAACGTGATCGTCCAGTTACCCCAACAACACCATCGCACGGTTTGAGGGTCAAGTTCTCGCATACGCGATCATAAAGTCCAAAGCAGTTTGGCATGAGTACAAATGGACTTGGATTTACATCCACTTCGTACAAGTCATCCAAGAACAACATCTCGATCGTCACGCTAGGTTTCCACTTACTGACTTTATCGATGTCTTGTGTTCCAAACAATCCGCTGGAAAAGGCACCCAGCACCCACATTTTGTGCTTTACATCGCTTCGACGAAATGGGACAACTAAATACACTACTGTGGCAACCGCAGATCTTGAAAATGCTTGTTTTTTTTTTATTGCACCTGAGGACAATATAGGATGTAGGACGTCTCCGGCCGCACGAAAATTGGCAAAGGGGTCTGATACGCTTTCTGCGCACTCCACTAGCACCAGTCCATTGGAAGCAATCACTGTAACATAATGATTTCCTTCGACTTGATTAAGATCGACTGAAGCTAAATCGCCCATGTGGCACTGTCCATACATACTTCGAAAGCACGTAAAGTACGATAGCGCGAGACAAGCGAGCCACTGTGATGGAGACTGTGGGCATACAATAACATAATCAATTGGCTTAGGCGCTACTACTGGATGTAGATCGCGCAATAAATATTCTGAAATAATAGCAGGCTCGACTTGGTAGCTTGATTCGAGCGAGGACACACATACCTTCGGTTCTTCTACTTGGCAGCAATCTAATCGCTGCGCGTCACTAGACATCGTTGTGGCTCGAATGAACTCTTCAAAACTCATCCATCGACGATCTCGAGCCGATCTTTGCAGTTCACGTTCATTCCTATCTTCCTTTCTCAAAAGCAACGTTAGACTTTGTAGATAAGGCTGCACACGATCTATAATGTCACTTTTATCCGCAGCGCTCGCAGCGGAAACCCGATAATTTGTATGTGCGGACCACATTTCGATCCCATTTGGCTCTTGCCGCCAAGTAACCATTGCATCGGATGCTGACATTTGGATCCCTAGTGATATCTCGCCATCACGAAGCTTAAATTGATCCAAACTACCTATTCTCTTCGACAATTCCTGTACTTCTAATTTACTCTCCAGAGAACTAAGCAAGAGGCGCCGTTGTTGCTCCTTCTTTGCTTGGCGACCATTTCTTGAGTACTGCAAATTTGTGTACTTAGATTTCCAATAATCAAAGCGATTCGAATACAAACGGCGACGCAGCTGTTCAGCTGTTGCACGATTGATTGAAAGCCGGCCTACATTATCTCGTTGTAGTGGCGGAATAAATGTTTTTGCATTTGGCACGTACTTAATTTTAGCTGACACACTCGTTGAATACCTCTTCTCAGTCATCTCTGATTCTTCATCGACATACTCCTGAAGCGCCTGTAATAATGGGTGCGTCTTGACTGGACGACCCTCTAATGCTTCCTGTTGTTCATCATGGGACAGCGATTCCACAAGCGACACAGCCACACTTAATGGCCTTGTGTCTTTTTTTAATTTTGTACATGTCGAATCCGGTTTTATGAACGAGGGATTTGTGGACATCATATGCTGGGCAAAACTTGAAGATATTACTTTTCTTCCATTACACGGCACGATCTTCATTCCTGAAGTTGTTCCATTTAATTTTATCGGGCCCAGTGTCAGCGAAATTGCCGGTTCCATTCCCATAGTGCCTTTGTGACCTTTCCGTCGTCGCTTGAAGCGCTTGACTTCAGAATCAAAATGCAAATCCAGCTCATCGTCATGTGGAAGCGTCATCAAGACAATTGAACCTGCTGCAAGAGGCGTATTAACATGTGTGTCAGGAGATACTGGAATAAAAGATTCTTCGGTCTCTGACGAATCGGCACTGTCACGCTTTCGTTGTGTCTTCATCACTCCACTAGTAACTGGGCGTCGCAATATTTCATCCGTTTCCACCTCCGTCTCAAGGTGATTACTATCCTCTTCTTCGTCTGCGTCATCTTCATTGTCATCCTTTTTCACTTCATCTTCATCTCCACTACCGTCGTTCTCATTTGTTCGACGCTGATGTTTACGCTTTGATACTGTTCGAAACCATGGTACCACATTCATGTACTTTGTTTGCGCAATGATTCGTGGTACTAGTCCGTCTTTTGAATGCCAAACATCAACGACCGAATGGTCCTTCTGAGATGGCAACCCCATAAGTCGCTCCCAGGAGCATCTTGGATCTCCTAATTCATCACCCTCCGACGACGAGTCATCTCTTCTAACCACATCTAAGGTCATTATCAATAAACGGCTCGAATTGGAAAGCTGAAAGTGCAATTGAAATGCTGGAGTAGGAAATGTTTCCTCTAGATAGACTTCGACATGGTTTAATTTTGTAAGTGACGGACAGCGAAAGATAAACTTGGCATCGTTAGGCTTGTAAAACCCGTCTTCAGTCAGTATAAACTCCTCTCGAGCGACCAATTTCTTGCTTAGATTCGAAGCCAGCGCCGCAAAAAAATGTTTCTGGATGCTTTTGTCTAAACAGTTGGCTTTGTTCGACCACGATCCTGTTGACATCTCACATACTCCTGTAGGAGGCTCAGCAGGAACCCCGCTGTGCACATTGTTGACAATAAACACCCAAAGTTTATTTAACAGTATCTTAGGGATTTCTTGACTCGCATTCTCAGTGAGAACACAAATAGCGTTGCGCTGCTGAAGACGTTGCAAGTAGACGATCAAAGCTGTATTTTCAGCAGGATGAGTTACCTTTGTGGAGCTTGTCTTCTTTTCGCTGTAGTTTGTATCTGGAGCGAGGCCGTACACATACCATTTTAAAGAAACTAGCTCGCACTGATTGTACATAACATCAAATCCATTTAAGTATGTCATGTCATGCAGCATAAATTATTGTACAGATAGTCATCAATGTGCCGCGCTACGTACGAGGACGAAGGAGTTAGTCGTGAGCGCCGGAGTCACCCCCGTTTGCTCCATCATGAGCGGTTCTTTCAGGCGTGACAGATGAATCAGTAGCCAATGTATTAGCACGAGACGTTCCCTACGCACTACAGCAAGCTCAAGGTCACGCGCGCTGCTAATCCGCACGGTATGAATTTTATACGCGCGGGCGCGGACGCAGGTAATATCGGCATAAACAGGGGTCTATCACATGTGTGCACCACATCCTGTAGATAGGTTAACAATTTTAGAAACGATTTGCCAGAAAAAATGCTGACGTAAGAATCGACCCATGCCTGTTTGATAAGAGCGCCGTTTTTGCTGCATTGGTCCCTGTCGTCCACAAGCTCAAATGATATTACTGACAAAGACACTCGTGATGAAACAACATTAGAATGGACTTGAGTATGTTGAATGCAATATATTTATTTCGCGACGCCGCAGTTAATGTATCATTATGCTAGCTTTCGACACGATCTATACTGTGGGTCAGCTGGTGACTAAATTATTTTAATAAGCAGCAATGTTGCAGCAACGCGATGCATCACCGGGTACCAAATATTAAAAATTTGTGCATGGGGAAATCACGATATCAGTATTGATACACAACTATGCCTTTGAAAAGCTTAATTGCTTTTTCCAAAAACGAGCTCGCTTTAAACAAAGACATGTCAACTCAAAATTCGTAGAGTTCCGTCATTTTCACAAAATACCAAAATCACAAGCAAAGAAGTGAGGAAGTGACATGAAATGTATTTAACACCGATATCAAAGGGCCATGCGCGTGCATCACGTTTTTTGGAATGCTGCCAAGTACAGCAACAATTACAGAAACGAGTGCTATATGCCTGAAAACCACTTTTGGAAACGTCTGGTTATACAGCATTGTGCCAACCGTACCGGAAATAACAATACGATGGCTTTGTTCTATTCCTTCTTGTAGTTGATCTTAGTTCAAACCTCTATTCGGCATTCCAGCTCAGACACAATGTAGCCATGTACTCCTCCACAACTTATGCTTTTAACATGGTCGCTTCAATTTCTTCGACTGTTCGTGGCACTTTAGTCATGCACTCAACACCAGTTGCCGTGACGACCACATCTGACTCAATTCGAACGCCACCCGTGCCACGAAAACGAGAAAGCATTTCCTGGTTGATAAATTTTGCCGTCACCGAATTATCCAGTACCGCCTGGATTTGAGCTTCGATAAAGTAGCAGCCCGGCTCGACCGTCAATACCATATTCCTCTCCAGATTTCGCACACAGCGCAATTTGGCTAGAATCTTTTTTGTTGAACGCTCGTAACCAATGGGAATCCCACCAACATCATGAGTGTCTAAACCCATCATGTGGCCCAAGCCGTGAGGATAAAAATAAGCCGAAATCTCATGGTCCATTAACTCATCAACTGTCCCATTTTGAAATAAACCAAACTCAAGCAAATGTTGCGTCAGCACGCGATGCGAAAGTAAGTGCATGTCCACATAGCTGACCCCAGGTTTCATAGCCGCCAATACGGCATCGTGGGCTTTGAGAACGCCTTCATATATTATCCTTTGATCGGCCGAGAAAATGCCATCAACTGGCCACGAACACGTAATATCCGAGGTGTAGCCATGTAACTCTCCGCCCATATCGTTCAAAAAGAAATCACCCGTTTCAAGGAGTTTATCATTTGGGGCTCCAGCATGGCCATAGTGCAATGCCGAGGCATTGTGGCCACTGCCGCAAATGCAAGTGTACGCATGAAATCGCGCACCTCCATTACTATACACATAATGAAGAAAATCGCTTTCAGCATGAAACTCCATCTTACCCGGACATATATTTTTCATGACATTCACATGAGCTCGTGAAGACAATTTGTTGACAAAACGAAGCAGCGCCAATTCTTTCTCCGTTTTGATTACACGGCATTCAACCAGAATGGGATGCAGCGCCATTTTGTCCACTTCAAACGCTTCAATTCCCTCGAAAGTCGATGTAGTGGTCGTCTCCAAGCCACTATCCGTATTCTTACCGTGCAAAACGTACAGCTTCTGGACTTTGATATTTTTAGCCAGTACGACCGCCATTTCGTCCATGAAAAACACCTCGTCTACTTTGTAGTGAGCCTTGAAGTAAGCCAAGGGCTTGCGATCTCCACACCATAGTTCCCATTCTTCGCTTAATCGTGGCACAAACAGCACAGTCTTGCGTGTAGTTAAGTCTATCAGACCGGCACACCCGGGTTCGCGTACACCAAAAAGATATTGAAAGAAACTCTCCTGGTGAAAATTATATTGGATGTCCGTGTCATACCGATCTACTTCGACACCACCGTGCAGTAGAATAGCCGCTGCGCTATTCTCAGCTTCAGGGTGCGTCTGTAGAAATTTTTGCAGCACGTTCTGTCGAATTTGGACGTGCATCGAGAAGTCGATAGGATAAAGTTCGAATCCTTCGGACGGGTCAGCTAAGACGTGACCATTTTGCACCATAGCCAGATGCGTGTGACCGTTTAAGGCCAAAACGTTGGCGCTTGGTCGACGCTGGCCGATTAAATTGCTACTCGAAGATTTGTAAGCTGTTGCCCGCTTTTTCTGCAATAGAGCAAGCGAAGCCATGGCCGCCGTGACTGTAGCCGTAGTGAGCAGGCCATTTACATGCTCAGAACTCATTGCTGACCGGAAGCTGTGTGCGTATTATGGTTGCGTTAAATCGTATAAATCAGATTCGTAATATTTTTCGACAAAAAAGAGGGTCGAAAGAAGAATACTGAAATATTGTAGCTTGACTTTTGTTACTTTGCTACTATTCGCCCTTGATTTTTGTCAGGTCATCTGAAGTCATTATAGCGGGGTAGTGGATATTGTATTTTTGAGTTTTTGAGGGCTCTATTTGGGACTGGACTCTACTCGGGAAAATCCGTTAGTTATAATATTTAAGTAATATAAACATAGATTATGAATTCAACAATCTTGAAAACTTTAATCAGCACTGGTTCAGGAATAAAAATGATGTTTAAATTATTATTAGCCAATAATCAAGAAGTTTGTGCGCGTTAGTCTTTGACAAGAGTAAGATAGCTGAGGAATCATCTGCAAAGTAGAGCCGGTGGTAATATAACCAGCCGAAATGGTAGTGCTGTGCTGTCACCCTCATCAGAGACGGTCACCAATGGGCTCGTTAGAGAGAGAAAGTAGTAGCAAGGAAAGAGAATCCCCTTACTTTACGCCACGATAGGGAAACAAGACATTCTGAACCGAGTCATTGAATGACAAAAGTGCTTCAACATGGGAATAAAGAAGATAAACCATACTGCTGAATACAGGGCCTCAATCAACTCGCTCCAGCCCCTTAAACAGATACTTTAGAATCAATCGATCGTAAGCTTGGGTGAAGTTGGGAAAAAGCGCGAAATTCTGCTTTCCTCGTTCTCGGTACCTTTCCTATCCGCGTAGACATCGGAGTGATAGCTGTGTCTTTAGTTTGGTAATATGGATTCGTGTTAGGGCCGAGGATTGACGGAGACGATTTAAGAAAGCGGCAGTATGAGCTAGTACAGGTGGCGTATCGGATGCAGCGAACACCTTCGGAATACCGTCAGGCGATGAAGTCGTAGAAGCACTCGCACTGTAAGGACGAGGTGTGGATGGTGACATGGCATCTATTTCATCACCTGGGCGTCTCATTGCTCTCTCGAGAAGCATCACGAATGAAACTTAGGACCCAGTTACCTGCGATGTCTTCTACCACCTGAACCGCTTGTAAACGAGCTGCTTTGCCTCAGTGGGCGGTACTTTTGCCTATTTCTTAAACAAATTTAAGCCTAGCTTAACTCAGAGGTGATGTGTAGTCACACATCAAAGCACAAGATATTTGTACGCCCTATCAATCAAAGTCAATCTAGTCGTATCCATTTTGTGAGCGTCCGGCTCAAACCTTAACTGATTGTCCCTTTGCTGCTGTAGCTACGTGGGAGCAAAATTAATTTATGCAAACTCTTTCAATCTCTGCACCCTTATCAGGCGACTCTACTGGCATAATACTGAGGTAGCCCTGCCCGAACACTTCCAATTAAGCGAATTATGTTGCTCGGGAAGTCATGCTGTAGAGATTGGAAGGCAGTCCTGCTTTGAAACGGAATTTCCTAGTTCGTTGAACAATGTGTATTTTGGACAGTTTGTCAGTCACAGCGACGTGGGACCAATTTCGTTATGCAGCCAAGCGATGAGTGAACGTTTTGCTAAAATTGACGCTTGACTCGGGAATCTAATGGAGACAAAAAAATTTGCTGTGTTCCGACGGGTTTGTCAATACTATCATGTCACAGGTGTTCGTTTTTTAACGAATGGTCAATGCGAAAAGTTGTTGGGAGCTTTTAAATTCAGGAGCTCGCATAGTGGTCGCATGTGTTTAGGCCCATGATTAGAGCCAAATTGTGGTGAGGTAAAGTTGTGCTGTGAATCTAGCGCTTGAAGTCAACGACGCCCTAAGACCTTGCATCCTTTTTAAAGGGTAGTATATTATGTTCTTTAACTCTACTAAGAAGCTAGTAAAGAGAAACTTTCATATCATTTTTTCGCATCGGTGTCATTTTACAACCTTTTTATTATTACCCTTGTTTGCCAGCTATTATATATGTTACCAATAATTATCTTTATTTCTGGAGCCTCATCTGCAAGCACCCAGTAGTCTACTGTCCACGTCAATTAGACATCCGTGGCGTAGTGTCCAGCAAGGTTTCTTGAAAATCAAAATTAGATATGTCTCGCCTGTTTTAAGCATCTTCTGATTTACCGACCAATGACCAACCTTTTCTAACTGATGGATGCACAACTGCTGTACAAAGCAGTATATTGTAGCCAAGCGTTATAGTCTTGAAAAGCAAACTTCATTTAATAATCTAATCATTGAGGATACGTGTTAAAAGAGATATATGGCATTGCTGAACCATTTTTTAATGCCAAAAATACGCAAAGACGGGTGTAGGGTAAGTGGCAAGTGATGCTGCATGTATCATTATTGGTAATATAAATCAACCATTTTTGCGTGAAAAAAATCTCAGGTTACTGTCAATTTGATGATTTGCTCTATCGCGTAACACGATACACGATCAAACACGTACAGAAAGAACAATGTAACCTTAGATCAGAGATTGATTGTTTGTGAAAATTACGTAATGCAGACTTGTCAGTGTCTTTCAAGGCAGCTGCGACCTTTCTAGTTATTGACCAGAACTTGCCCAGACAACTATCAGTAGTATTCGTAGATTTGTAAGTACTTCGCTGCTAATCTGATGGGTTCAGAAAGCTTTCAACTTTTTGCCGATCAGATTCGAAGAAAGGCTCTATTTTAATAGAGCCGCTCTTTTCTACTTTTTTGTTCATTACACATAACAGTCTCAAAAAGTTGCCTGCTTTATTGAAGATGGTCATTAAGCACGTCATTCAACAGTTCTATATCTTCTACCCGCATCGATAATGCCGAAGAGCCCTTACAATGAGCAGTCACCACTGCTACGCCCGGGTTCCAAGTTCATTAGCCACCGTACACGCCTCTTTTGTTGTGGTGCAGGATCGCTTCTTCTGGTTGCAGGTACCGCGACTTGCATCGCCATCGTGCTGCGTTTGTTTTGGCGAACGGAGTCGTCATCAATGACAATGACTCCCTTAATAAATGCGGACGAGGTAATCATGTCGCTGTAGTATTTATTGGCTCAGAGTGTTGATCATTGTTTAATGTTAGTACGATGCTATCGTCATTGGAGGCGGTCCAGCGGGTTCCGTGGTGGCAAAGTTACTGAGTGATGATCCATGGCGACATGTGTTGCTGATTGAGGCAGGAAACGCATCTCAGACACAATTGGGTGGCAAGGTGAGATTAGGGAACCGATAGATTGACGCTGAAATCACTAATGCGGATACTGCAGGGAGCGATCTTATCACCGCTTAATACAAAGCGATTAACGCCATTCGACGTGCCATTCTACTGGACTAATGTCGCTAATACGCCGTCGCTACACTGGGCATACCCGGATGTGAATGTAGCTAGAGCATTAGGGGGATGTGGCATTCACAATGCTATGCTTTACGGTACGATTTGCTGTGATCTTTCAATTGACTCAAATTTCTTATATAAAAAATTAGTGCGAGCTTTGCCTTCAGACTTGGAGCGGTGGAACATGTCAAAATGGTCGTGGCACAAGGCTTTAGAGATTTATATGGCTATTGAAGATTTCGACGGACCGAATTCAAGTTATCATGGAAAAGGCGGAATTGTGCGGACCAGTCCCGCTGCATTTCGATTTGATGGATCTCAAGAATTTATCGACGCGTGTGTTGAGTTAGGTATCCCGCGCTCAATGGATTTTAACGCTCCCGACGGACGACACGGCGTTGGATATTACCACTTCAATACGCGAGATGGAATTCGGGAGAGCGCCGCCAAGACATTTCTTGGACCCATTCTAGATAGCTCGACTGGACAATCTCGTCGAAAGAATTTCAAGTTGATGCTCGATACGACGGTTACGGTGCGTTTGATGAGGTTGAAAACCACATATAATTTGACACATTGAGTGGCTATAGAAAATTGGTATTGATGACGACGATGTAACTCAAGGAGTGGAAGTACGTTACGGCAATGGCATGACACAGTTGATTCGCCTTGCCAAACACGGTGAAATAATTGTCACAGCGGGTGCAGTCAATACGCCAAAAATTTTGATGCTCTCCGGACTCGGAAACCGTGAAACACTTAAAAAGGCGGGGTTACCTTTAAAAAAGCACTTACCTCGTGTGGGGATGAATTTGCAGGATCACCCCGTGGTTGGAATGGTATTCGAGTACAAAAAGACACGCAACGTTGATCTCAAGTAAGTGGCTGGTATAATAGGGAAGCATTTTATCTGACATTTATAATGCTTGACAGAGCTGATTTGGAGTCGTACTTTAAAGCCACCAACTTGGAATACGCAAATGCCTCCACACTCGGTCTATTTGGCACTGTTGGCATTAGAGCAGGAGCATTTTTGACTCCGCCCGGAGCGACACTTCCCGAAATCCAGCTTACGCTGTTTCCTCAGAAATCCGAACCCCACATGTCGAATAGCTCAGGTCTAGATCACACGACACAAGCAGTCATCACAGTCGCTTTACTTCATCCCTATGCGCGCAATCGTGTAATTCTCGTTCACGATGAGAATGAATCTGCAGACGACAACGACATTGATGATCATTTGATTCCGCGAGTTGTGTCGGAGGTCCCGGAGACCAAACCCGAGCATCTTAGACCAGGAGATGTATGGAAGATTTCTTGGGCAATTGGAGTTGTGCGCGAAATTGCAGCAAAACTTGGTAAGCTGGACTCATTGTTTGCTGTTTGACGAATGATTAAATAGATTGATTATATTGCAGGTGAAAAGAACGTTATAGGGCGTGAGCTATCCCCGGGCGATGATATCAGGTCTCCCGAAGGTAGCGCACATGGTTTTCTGGCATCAATTATTTACCTTAGTTCATACTGGTTTTATAACGAACAGACTTGGAGAAATGGGTATATGACAATGTATTTCGGAATTCGCACTGGGTTGGCAGTGCGTCTATGGCACACTCCGAGAACGACGGAGTCGTTGATAATCATTTACGCGTCTTCGGCATCAAAAATTTGCGAGTTGCTGACGCGTCTGTTATTCCTTTTATTCCAAATGGCAACGTGCACTCAACTGTAGTCATGGTAGCAAACCATGCTGTAGATATTTTGCGTGAGGATGAAGCCGTATATCGACGTCATGGTACAACCGCTGTGTTCGGTTCGAATGATTGAACTTTGTACGCAAAGGATCAAAGAAATAATTTATTTGCTACCAATCCACCTTGGAATGTCTATAGTAGAGTTCATCTTGGATAATTTCATGTTTTGTCAGCATCCTCATTGATGATCCATTTTTGAGTCAATTTCTGCGTGAAATTATATATCTGAACTAAGAGCTCTGAACTGGTCAACTCATAAATTATCTAGAATAATTGTGATCATGTACAGGAACGGCCAGTGCCTATTGTAATCAGATTAGCTACCAACGTGGTTTTGTTAAACGTACAGCACTGGTAGCGCTAACATTTGTCAAGCTCTCAACCTCCGGTCCTAGCGCTCAGCCATACGCACATAACTTGCCGTTGTTCTAAGAATATCAGACAATTTTTTAGACCCCGAACTTTTGCCACAATGTATTGAAGCTTGAAAAAAAAGAATTCGTGGACTTAAGTTACGCGTTCTCAAAGCGAGCGGTTGCACGATTGCAGCGTAATATTCCTGCTGTATCGCAGCATGACCCACTTGACACTGAACGTGTGGTGGAACTTGATGACTAGAATATCTCCTGAATTAAGACGTCTACACTAGTGGAATTAGGCTGGGTGAATGACGGTGAGCCTGCTTCTATACGATGACCAAAAGTAATATACAGTTTGTCTGCTAGAATTTACATGTCAATCATAGTTTGTCCAGATGATGATACGTTTCAAGCAATCCTTGTCTGTCTGAGAGTGAAATCAACATTACTTGAGTTACTTGAAGAGTTCAGCGGTGGTTTAATGTGCATGGAACAACCCAGCGAGTGGTGAGAGAACCAAAGTAGGTTTAGCACACGCTTGATAGATGCTTGGTTTTCTTCAGATTGAGCCCGACGCATGGAGTCACATCCTAACGCCAACAAAAGCGGAGGCGGCTCACGCTACCGAAACAGACAGTCGTTATGAGACAGAATTGCTCCTAATGCTTAGAGGCTCCTTTATCGTTGTGCTTGAAGACGTCGATGGCCGCACAGACATGCACAAAAGCAGCAGAACAGTACACAATGGTGAAGGGCGAACGCAAGCATGGTTTGCCATAGATCTTCCAACACAGGAACATGTGCTTTCCATGCGTCAGCGGGTGTGGGTCGACGTCCGAGCACGATGTCAAATTATGTCAGGGTGTAACGAAGACCATCACGGAGCACCCAGTGACCATATCAAAGAGAAATGTGTAATCGAAGAGAAATGTGTATTCAAAGAGAAATGTGTATTCGAAAAACAGATATCGCTCTGTCTCCACTGCAAGAAACTCTACGTGAATGCAGTGAAGGAAGGATCTGCAGGCGAGACTTTCGCAGGAAACAGAGCACTAGCAATAGCCGCATGGCCAGTCTTTACTGCTGATTTTCATGAACCGGTAGCAAATTCTTTTGCAGACGCTTTCTCAGACGCACAAACCTCTGAACGTCTTTTGGTATGGCGCGGTGTAGTTTAGTTGGATTGGGTGCGGTTTGTTTGCTGTCGGTGGATTCCATACGATGTCGAGTAGATGGGATCGGGGAATCGAGAGGACTTCATGGACTCGTTCCTCCGCCCTCATACCAACGTATAGAGCTCGAGGATCTTTCTCTCACTGGTAGTGGGGGCCAGTAACGCGTCTACCTACAGTCTGATCAGTCACTGAAAGACTTGTGCGACTTCGACATGCACTGCGTGAAACCATTTGTAGTGTCGGTTAGCTATAATAGCAGTAAGCTAGTAGTCTATGTGAGAAGCGAGCAAACTCGTCGACATCTGACCATGCGTCATCAAAAAACGAAGTCCGAGAGACTCGTTAACTGGAAGACGGTTTAATATAGGGATCGCCAACCATACAGATTCTACAACACCTGGATTAATGGTCAAGTGGTTCGACTTGCTCAGTGGTACTACTCACTCAAGTGGGAAGTCACATGGTGGGACCTCGATCCTCCCACTCGTCTCGCATGCCCACAAAGACGACCTACCCAATTTCCTGATGCGCTCGAGATCCGATACGTCATCGCAACTAGTGTTGACACCTCGGGCATCATATCGCAGTAGACTGATCATGAGGAACTAAAGTGGTCACCATGATCTCCAATCTTTTACAGCTAGCGACAGATGTGTTGATCCAGCGGTGGTTGAATTGTGTGACGTTGAGGTTGAGGCAGCGAGCAGGCAGTTGAATTATCTGATTTATTCAAAGCCTTGACGTTGGCTTGGATGTGCAATTCGCCCACCTAGCGAGGCTGGTATTGATCATCATTGGCAATCACCTGAACGTGCTTGGCGTTACAGTTGTACCGACGACTGAACACAAAACGGATTAGTGTCGGCCGGCACTTTTTGACGGCGCGGTCGGGAAATGGGACGCGCGCCGTGTAATGCTAGTGTCAAGGAAAAACTATAGTGAGCGCAATGAGTTGGCGACATCTCGTTGTTCCTGTTTAACGGGACCAGAGCAAAATACCGTCACAGAGGTGCCGATCCATGAACAAGTTTGAGCCGCCCTTGGATACCTTGTACCGAGCTGGAGTGCAACATCGAGTCAATGGCAAATAATAATTCGGACTGTGTGACCATCGGTCAGGCAGATGCAATGCACTATGTGTTGACATAACAGGTTATCTAATGGCTCGATGACCATAAGAAAGAGAAGCGCCGAGAGCGGGTCACTCGGATTGGCATCACTTGTCGGACAAATGGCTTGCTGGATGTGACCGTTTATCAGGAGTTAAGTCTGTGGTGCTGTGCGATCTAGCATTTGACGCATATAATCCCGCTTAATTAGGTTGTACGCCTTATCAAAGTCAAAAACATTTTGTAGGCTGCTTCATCTCTCGCAATCGTCAGATTATTTCAATCAACCAGGAGGCAAATAATTTTGAATAATGAAATCGTTCGTATTTTTATAACTTTACATTAATTAATATTTTTTAAAATGGTGATAAATGCACCCACACTTCGCGAACGCCTACAAATCGGCATTGATGAATTTGGAAAAGAGAGCGGCAGTCGGTACGTTAGTGTTTTGGACAGATTTTTGATCGGTCGAAGGCTCCCAGAAGTCTTGAAAGCTCTTTTGGTGCAATAGATAGATTGCTGTCCGACGCCGAGGTTTCAGAAATAATCTTAACTGCTGTCAACAGACCTCCTTCTTCATCGTTCCAAGGATTGCTGGCAATCTGAAGATTCCGCAACATCGCCTAAGCCTCTCATCGGAAGGCTGCAACTGTCTACGGATATTCGAGCAGGTAAAGTAGGAATCTGCAATAGCCGTTGTGTTGAGACTGGGATGTGAAACGGATTGCGCTTTGGTACGCTAAGTGGTCCCCTGTACCCTTGAGCTTGAAGTACATGTCATCTCTATACATTACGTTGCTGCACTTAGAAAGTAGAAGAGTGGTTTATTCGTGGCCGAGACCAGTATATACTCCTTCGTCTGAATTTTGGATACGCCAGAGATCCAACACTCCAAGCTAGGCTTGCTCTGCGTCCAGGACGAACGCGGAGCGAGAGCTAAGACGAACCAATACTTAAGACCAGAAATGTGTTGAGATAACTGAGCACGAGGTGCGGTTCTTTATAGTCGAGCAAGTCGGCAGATAGAATGTCCTTTTCTCAAAGTCATTGAAAGGCAAGTAGAAAGTAAGAAAATGTACGGGAGCATTCCCAACCGACACTTAAACCAGTAGGTAGTGTGACTCGGGATAGTCAGATGAGATAGCTTCATCGCCGTGTTGAAACCTGGGAAGTCCGAGCGGAATACAGTGATCTTTCTATCGGAACGAACGGTAGTCTGGGCTACGCTGTTGTCATTTGAACCGCTGATAAAGAGTTTGTGCCAAAAACGGACTTCGTGGCTGAGCTTGAGAGTCTCGGGGTGATAGGAGTTGCATAGCCTGGTGAGAGCTCGGCCGTGTCCACTGGCTTAGCAATCTTAGGAGCTCAGACGGAGACGACCAGCCCTTGCAGCCGAGGCGCGCTTGTATCGGTCGCTTAGAAGCCATCTTCGGCTTGGAAACTGCGTAGTCGTCCAGCAATGCACATGAGCATTAGCTCGAAGCAAATCAGTGTTCGCACCTTTGTGCTGTTCGATGACACCCTTTCTAATTTGAGCCCCACGCTGGAACAGTTCCTTTTCTTTTTCGGGACCTAGCCTCCAATGTGTTTAGCCCACGCATTCGCAAACGTGGTCGACATTTTGCGATCCGTTGTGCTCAGCACGCAGTGGGATAGATGTAGATACGCTAAGTCGCTAATACGCAAGTTGGCGGTGGTCATCTCTTGGAGCTGTACGGTGTTGAAGACTAGACAAGACGCATAGTAAATCACCGAGTTTTCGTTGATGGTGTTTCGCAAGACCTTGCATGACCACGAGACCCTGGAGTCGACACCTGCAAGACGATCTGGCGGCAACTGAAGCTCGGTGGCATCTTCCGTTGTCCTAATCTCTGCCACAATCTTTTGGACTGACGCTGGCTTCTCTGTCTTCATAAAGCTTATGTGACGCTTGGTGAGGAAGTGACTGGCTTCCTTCGAAACGCTGATCCTGGTCGAGGCTTTCACCTTGCAAGGCGATCTGAAAGCGTGGTCCGTGCGGCTCACAAAAAGCGACCGAGCAGAGTAGAAGTTCACTTCGACAATGCTAAGCACGTTGAAGTAGTTGCTTGTCGCAACTTCCATGGGAACTTAAGTCTACTCGTTATGGGTATCTTGACGACATCCATCGCACTGCACGTTCGATGTTCGTTTCTCTCGGAGCTGGCCACAACTTGCTGGAAGAACATTTTGGTGGTGGTGGCAGTGAACTTTTGACTCTTATGCGGCGTCAAAACCACCGCCCCATTCGTTCTCAGCGATAGTTTGCTGAGAGCACTATTTGATGGTGACCGGGCGAGGGATGCCGCTAGCCGGACAATCGTATCTTGCCGGGCCACGACTTGCATCTCGGTGGCTAGGCAACAACTCTAGCAAACGATTGTAATTACTGCGGAGTCGACTGACGCTGATGCGTGGATGAACTGGCTGCTGCCACTGTCGTTACCTCCGAGTCTTATAGGTCCGGCGCATAGTCCGAGCGATACCGAACTAGCATGCGCTGGGCTGGCAACGTCGCATTCTTTGCGCGGACTGTGTGGATGCGTCCGCAAATACGTTCTGGCCACAGACGGAGCCATCTACGAAGTGTTGTGGCGGATATTCGTTCGAGTGGAAGTACACGCGCCAGGTGGTGGTCGTAATCACCGCGTCGTGGTTCACGACTCAAAACGTGCCATCGATTGGATGCGCTTTGGGGTTGAAGAATCGCTTGAGCACGAGGCACAATGCTGTCGATGCTGACCATGTCGATGTTGAATCATTCAGCAAGAACGTCGAACTCTTTGAACCGAAACGACGTGCCTCCGTGGATTGTGATCTTCTGGTCTTCAAGACAGAGGCAAGATCCCTGGTCTTGACATTGATGCAAAGGCTCCCTCAAACATCTTGATTAGCTGGCAAGCTGATTTAAGCTCATCTGGCGCTAGACGGCTTGGTTGCCTCGATCATGGGGGAAGGATGCAAGAGGCTTGATGGGCGTGGTACGCTAATATTCTTGTCCAGTTACCATCGCCATCACGTAGCGTGCTCTGAGCAATGCTTACGAGCACGCTCTATCGATTCGTGGCGCAAGCTCGTTTCAACAAACTCCCGCTTCATATAGCGCATCGTTGAGCTTGTAATCTGTAGCAAGCGGCATTAGCAGTTTGGCCCGTTTCTTTTGCGGAGCTTCTGTGTCGTCGCACTGAATTTCTGTAATCCGTTGTATTTGAATTTACAAGGTCGGTGGTGCACATCCTGTCCAGTGTTTTGGATCGCAGTCATCTCGGTGCCGCTTCAGTTGGCTGCTCGCGAGGTCTTATCGCGCAACTAGATTGTCATCCAATAATTGGTCGTTGGTGTGCATGTGGCTGAAAATACTCGGGTACAGTTGGTTCAGGACCAGAATCACTGCCCTAGGCCGTTGGAAAGGTGCTCAGGACTTCGATTTGCTACCCCCTTTTTGCTCGGAGAAGAATAGACAGCTGGATACCTAGTACCACTGTCGGCAGTAGACACGGATTGCGCTGGACTCCCATTCTCGCTACCCCCTTCCGCTTACAGGGAAATAAACATTTAAGTATATTGCCATTGTCGACAGTAGAAGGAGGTGCGCTATGACAAGTGCTTGATCTTGTGGGTGTGATCCTACGTCGCTCATCAGAGTCGTCAGCTTGGACACTGTCAGGCTTGGCGGCAGACGCGGCGGGTTATTCCATCCTCGGTAAAGCTCGAAGAGCGGAGAGCTTGTGGCTCGCGTGGTGCCTAAAGTCTTCCTAAGGGACCACTTAGAAATTGAGATGTTTGCCTCACTCCTTGAAGTAGCATAAAAAAGCTTTGCAAGTTGTTCCCACCTATTGCTACCATGTGCCGTTTCGTCCGTGTAAATTTTCCATATCGAGCACTTAAAGTCTTCATATCTATTTCTGCAGCTTTCTTACTGAACGCCAAACAAGATGCGCAGAAAATACTTCTCTCCAGCGTTGTTCTGGCAATCTGCAATTCGCACTACTAAAACATTAAGCTGTACGGATTTTTGTCTATATAAAATATATTTGTACAAAGCGACTGACGACATGAGCTGTTAGAATTTTGCCTTTCAAATGTGTAATTTTAATTTGGCTGTAACTGACTAACATGCCAAATCTATTTAAAAGTACTGGTGCTGCATGTATTTAATTATATTTCACAAAATCTCAATCTGATTTGTGATCGATACACAGACTGAACACCACCAACTGCTACTTTGTAACCTTATCATGCTCCACTTCTTCTTGCTATCTATTCACTTGGCAGATATCTGAAATTGGTTTGAAGTGGGAAAGTTGATTGTTGACAAACGGTGTCATAATGTGTTAAATATATCAACACTGTTTTACTAAGAAACGCTATCGTCACGAGGACATAGACTTTAAATGGGTATAGTATATTTTTGCTAAATTTGGTAGCCATTGATGATCGTTTCGTGAGGTCTTTTTCAAAAGTAGATGGATGAAAGGTGATTAAATCAACGGTGAGCTGTTCAGTACATCGTTTTATGGAACATGCTTCCGTTTGCCAACGTGGTCGATGACCGAACAAATGGAATCAGCTGTGAAAACGAGAAAAGGGAGCAAAACGAAGCAAATCAAGTAAAAAGATTGTCACATCGAATTGTGCATGACGAATCACCAACCGGTGACACTACAACTCTGTCGTATCCATCCATCATGAATGTCACCCTTTCAACAACAGAAGTACAAGCGACAAAGCCCCAGCTCGTGGAATCAGCAATAGAAAACTTTTATCCCGATAGAATTAAAACGACAATCTCTATGTTTCTAAACGCCATGGTGAAATTGACTACCCGCGATCTCCCGTTACGACATTCTCCACGTTTAATTCAGGCAATGGGATGGCGAGAACGTATTTGTTTCTACCTCACAAATCCCGAGAAATCATATATTGGTTGGCGACTACAGCAAATTATCATGTTTTTGCTTGTCATCAATGTTGGAGTCATGGCGAGCGAAACCCTCGATGGACCGCAGTACGGTAGTACAGACCCTGCATTCGCTTACATGCTCAGTGAAAGTGCTTACAATGATATCGAGACATTATTCTCGCTACTGTATATAACGGAATTTCTCGTTCGCTGGTACACAGTTCCGAAACGAATTCAGTTCTTGAAATCAGTCTCCACATGGATCTACTTTTTAGCCGCAGTAGCAGCACTACCAAAACTAGTATTGCCAACACAGAACAAGCAATCGGATACAATGCGAACGGATTCAATATCGTATAATCTCCGTATTCTCCGCGCAGTTCGTTTAATAGTTGCGGTCGCTCCGTTTGTTGGAACTAAAGTGCTCCTACGCGCCATAGCTGAGGCAATCGCTCCCCTCAAAATTACGGTGCGCTAAACATTTGCTCGCATGATAGTCTGTTTTGCTTTAAGCTTATATAAGTTGTTTTCGCTTAATGTCAGCTTTTCTTCTTGATTGCCGTCGTGATGGTGTTTGCTACGGCCATTTTCTATGCCGAACCTTGCTATGATTTGCAAACCTGCACATTTACTGATATCTTCAATACGGGATACTTTGTTATGCTCACGTACGTTTAATCTCATTATGTCCATTCTACTTTTGATACTAACATGTTCACATTCTAGTGTTTCCACGGTTGGGTATGGAAGTCAAGTGCCTTCGATGAACAATTTCGGTTCTCTGCTACTTGTATGTCTCGTGATGATCTTTGGCACTATTTACTTCTCAATGCCTCTGGCAATCGTTGGCATTAAGTATGACTTGGCATGGTTGGACCATGACGAACATCTTGCTAATGTAAAGCAGGAACAAAGCAGATTGCAAAATGATTGTACAAGTTCAGAGCCTGTTTCGTCTGGTGACGTCTTACGACCTCAAAGTTTTGACGCATATGATGATACAACGAAAAAAGTGGACGATACACTCGAAAAGGTCGAAGCACATGTAATTCAGTATACAAGCTTAGTTACGAGCGATCGATTTTACACACTGTTACAAGGGCTTTTCGATGCCAATTCAACGCTTCAAGGTTTGCTATCTCCAAATGAAAACGCATTGAGCTCTTCCACGACACTGGAGTCTCTAACTCAAATAAGTAAAAGACGTAATGATAAGATGTCGCAAGCGGTAGATGTGATGGTGAAAGTAATTGAAGTTCACTCTAAAATCTGCTTACAGACTCAAGAACTACTGGAAGCCTCTACAGATCGAGAGAATGATTTTAGTCGATTTATGTCGACAAGCAAATTTGAGAGCAAGACTATCAGTGGTACATTGAGCAAAAGAATGATCCGCGCGAAAGGAGCAATCGACGCAATTAAGACCAAGGCTATGAGTGCTATATCTCGTCGTGATAGCCACACTAATCCCAACAGCTTCCGAGCTTATATTTGGAACGTACTTGAGTACCGTTTAGATACGTGGCACTCACGTGTGATTAACAAAACGCGCATGATTGCAGTAGTGCTCAGTATTGCAATGTTTTACATGCAAACGACGCCGGAATTGCAGAATACAGGAATCAAAACATTTCTTTGCTTGCGTAATGTTTATGATCATTGTGAACGATACGATGAGTTAGGTTGCTACGTGTTTCGACAAATTTCATCGTCTGGATCGGAACTTTCGGTTGAAGTAACAACACAGCGATTGAGCCGTCACTGCTCCATTGGTGACAAAGATGAAACGTGTTATGGGTCAGGTGTCAATTTTGCATCGGAGAATTTTCCTTTGGCTTGTACTGACGTCTTTCCGTCGCGATCCGGTATCGAGCACGTTTGCAAAAATCGATTGTGTAATCCACCAGTGCTTTATCTGTTTGACATGGAGCCATACTGGATCTACTTTGAAATTCTCTTTGGCTTCTTATTCACATTAGAAAGTGTCATGCGTGTTTACGCACATCCTGTGCGACGTCATTTGTGGGGTGATTACAAGTTAATGGTTAATGTTCTCGTACTTCTCCCATTTTACGTTGAGATCGTCGAAATTATGATAGGAGAGTGGCCAACCTACGCTGTCGGACCAGCAATACCTTCGTTCTTTACTGCTGTTCGAATTTTAAAAAGTTTGCGTATTTTGAAACTGGGAAGTCACATTCCAGGTGCTCGTGTACTGATTCAAACAGCGCAATTAGTCTCAGAACGACTAGTAATCCCGGTAAGCTCTATTGAACTCATTAATTCACAACCTACCCAATCTTACTTTTTGATTGTAGCTTTTCTTCTTGTTTTTAGGCTGCGTCATCTCTGCGGCTGTGTTTTTTGAATTAGAGCGTGGAACAGAGTGTTTTGTTGGTCAAACGTGTATGTGGTGGCATATAAATGTTCTAACGCCGGAACTGTCAGAAGGTTTGCCGATTGGAAAGCGTATACTGATCCAAAATACACTTCCTAGTATCATAACCGATATGATGCGGTCAACATGGTTCTCGCTCGTCAGTTTTACAACGGTTGGTTACGGAGATTTACGTCCTCGTACATCCCTGGGAAAATTGGTCGACATTATTGGAGTGATATTCAGTTCATGTTATACTGCAATGCCCTTGACTCTCGTGGGTGGACAATTTTACGTTTGTTATGAACTCCACGCGCAAAAAGAGCGTCTGAAAAAGGTACGAACTTGTCGATCCAGACTAAAGCTACTCAATATTTTTAACTTCTATGTTACGCGAAATAGGAAAGTTTAAAAGTACAGATCGTTCCATGCGTCTCTGACAATGATAATTCTGCTGAAGTTGAGAGTGAAGCTAAAAAAGCCATTTCAAATGCAATTGAAACATCCACCACGTCTCTTTCAAGATCTAACTCCACTGTTTGTCCCTTGAATACCGTTCAAGATGAAGAAGTCATCGCTACACAACGTAACACACGACTGACTGAAGAAGAAATTATTCAACAATTTTTCCTCATGCAGAAAGTTTTTCACGAAATGATTGATGACATCAGTATTTTAATTCAGCTAAGGAATGAGCAATTCAACTTGATAAAGAAACAAGCCAGTGACGATTTGACACTGTCGAGACAACGAGAAGAAGTGATAAAGACCAAGATATTAGTCAATCTAGACTTTTGTTTGGTAAGTAAGTCAATCGTTTTTAAAGAAAAAGTTACTGACTTTAACGGATGTCAGGCGGCATGTTTGAATTTTTCAGCCATGATTGAACGCTGCTATGGGTCGAAGAGAGCACCAAAGCCATTGCCATCAATCGCTCATCATACCAATGCATTGCTGGCCGCAGCAGATGTTTCAAATAAGTTGTTACAGGCCAATACAGACGCAACACTTAAGCCAAGTCAGAGCAGAAGGAGTTTAAGTTGGAAAAATTCAAGCGCAGATCTGGCGATGCCTCGTCTTCAGCCAAAGCGGACATTAAAAAAGATTGCCACGTTGTCTAAAGTGCTAGCTGTGCAATACAGATCATCAGGAAATATTACAGATTTGGAGGATATTACCGACCCCCAGAACGAAGTGCGACCTGAATGATGAAGCGGTTTGTGGCAAAGCTATTTAATGCTTGAAGCTAATACACAATGGCTGCCTAATCATCACCGCAATATTGTGGTGAGTCAGCTTTCACTGCGGCAAAATGATTGCCATGATCAACGATTTTGTTTGGCTTTAAAGCGACAATATGAAAGCATTCACATTGTGATAGAAAGTTTGTGGTGTGATGCAGTCAATCAATAATGATTTTGACGCTATATCTTCAAAATCCGGGACCAAGTTATCACTTTACAAAAATCAGCGTATCTTCTGTAAGTTGCTTGCCCAACTACTCAGCTTCATGCATTCAGGAACATCAATTTGTATTGTCAACAAAAACGGAGCTAGCTGCGATTCTTTAAATCAAATTTTCCAATGGTGTGACAACATTTATTCGACAAGTTGAGCCAAGAGAAGCAAAGTCGACAGCGTTACTAGTCAAAATTGTTCATGGCTGCAAGAGTAGCTGGTCACCTTGTATTCTCAACGGCACGAAGTGTTGAACAGTTAGCATAAAGAGACAATCATTTTAAAATAATCGTCGGTCTAGATGGTGGCGGAACTCTTATGCGTGGAAGTCCATGGAGTAATCGGCATTTTTGCTGCCAAATATCAAGACGAACATGAATAGAGGTTTTTGAGGCGTCTCGCAGATATCAAAGATGCCGCAAGTTGCATCAATGGCTGTAATTTTTGATTCAGTTTGCTTACTGCATAAAGAGAAGACGTAAATGGTCTAGTAAAGTAAATGTGAAGCAATCTAATGAGTGATCTATACTATCGGATCGGCTGTTCACCGAAATCAAATATATTACTGTCACACTTAGCGAGCGAATGCATGACCAATTCTAGCATGCGAAAGCTGCACCTAACTGCTCAAGCTGAGCGTATTTGTTATCATGTGGGATTTTCGTACTGTGTGATGAGCCGATTTGTAAAGTTATATCATGTTTGCGCATCACAGCAATACGCAGGCTTCTGTTAATGATACCACACTGTGCTGGATAGATACTGGTTCACTGAATAAATGGATGAAGACCAGATCAAAGGGCATCATTCTATACTTACAACAAATCCACATAACGTATTATAAATGCAGTACAAGAGCTTCTAACTAGAGATACATAGAGGTCGAAGCTGAATGATATCAGCGACTATAGTGAATCAAAAACAGTTTTCATATTGCAGGGTCTAGTTCGGAACATGTGAAAATTTACCGTTTAAAGTATTTGCTAGTCCAGTCAAGTATGTTTAACGGCACCGATCTTTTCGGTGTTTGTGCTCATTTGAGCCAACGTCGACCCACCAGTTCGCGTTAGAACAGTCTTTCTTTCTCAAATATTTTGCTTCCTTTATATCTGCAGGGTGATGACCTCGCTTCACCTCACTTGATCGGCGTTTTAATTTCTTGTCATTTTTTAAATACCACATCTGCCACGACGAATACCAGTGCAGCCATATCCAGTAGTCCGCCCATTGTTCATCAGTCACTAAATGTTCTAGTCCTGGTGGTGCAATTGGATGATGAACATCAAGACCAAGTCGAGCAATGCACTCTTCTTCCATCCCAGGAGGCCATACAATTCCCTTTGGATGCCGGTCTGTAGCATTATTTGACCTCATTTGACTCTTCACCCTAGCCTTTCGATTGTTTTGAACGTCTGAAGTACTCCGTTCCGAAGAATGACTTCCTTTGTGTGCAGCATATTGAATATTAGATCGATTATTACTGGGAGAAGATTTACTCAATCGATAGGAATGACAGTCGTGTGTTGAACATGAGCAATGGTCAACTCTACGTTCATTTCGGTCGTCGTGATCATTCTGACTATCACTAGAAGAGTCGTAGGTATTTACTCTTCGTTTGTCAGATAATGTAGGCTGAGTTGACTTAGAATGTGTGGAACCCCAATTTCTGCCACGTGTCTCTGTCTTGCTAGCTACCGATTGTCGATCAGTTCGATTGCGTCGTCTATCTTGGTATCGCTGGAATAAAGTCTCTGGTTTAGGAGCACTCCCTTCCCCGTAGGATAATTCTTCATCACTACAAAGCTCTTCGTCATTGTAGACTTCATTGTTAACAACTTGATCGCAATCACTGTGAGACTGGCGCGCAGTACGAGTTTGAGTCCTTGCACTCTGCTCAGATCGTAATAAACGACCCGACGCATTGTGATGTACCGCATGACGGTGCTCCACCGTTTTGTTAACGCCATCATCAATAAACGTAACAGATTTATCTTGCATTTTCATTTCTTGATCAATGTCGTTGTCGACGTTGGTGTCATCACTTTCATCACTTAGATACTGCGTATCGCACTCCTGGTTTTTTTGTTGCGTCAAATCACTTGTATTTGTGCTGGTCATGCTAGGTTTCCATCCACGAGCTGCGTCAGTAGAGCTTTTATGAAGCGATTGCCGTCTATGAGTCTGATTATCACGCTGATGCGATGTCGATTTATCACCCTTTGACACTCCAAAGCTGGCACTATTCCGAGCATATCGACAAGGATCAGCCGCGTGTTCGTGATCACTGTGGGCGTCGTCACTATCTTCGCTATTGCGTACATCCATATCCAATACATCATCGGACTGAACGATCGGGCCATTCATGTATCGCTGAGACGAAGCGATCGATTCTGCACGATCATGGCTTTTTGATTGCAACTCGTTTTCGGTAACGTCATGTGGTTTAGATCGAGCCGAGCCAGGTTCGCACTGTTTTCTTTGCTTCTTTCGGTCACAACGTTTAGAGACGTCGTCTTCATTATAATTTGTAGCTAGTTCGTGATCTCTAAATGTGGACTGTGAATCAATCACTGATTCATCAAAACGATCATGTTGTTCCCCCGGAATTTTTTTTCTACTATCAAAAGCAATCTGACTTCCTTGCCTGGATCTTTCAGATTGCAAGTCGTGATGCATAACATCTTTCTTTGAAAAACTGTAATCATCACTTCTAGATTCTTCGTGCTCATAGTCTTCAAAACCATTTTGAGAACCCACTTCCTCGTCAGCCATGTGATGCTCTTGAGTGACCGCCGTTTTCGATGAGCAGTTTTCGTCACCCTCACCTCCATAAAGTTGCGTCATTTCGCGGCTATTTTGACGAAAAGTTAAGCCACGACCATTTTTGACGATACTTTCTCTACTTTCTACATCATTCTCTAGAACATTGTCCAGAGCATCCAAATTGACAACAACATTTATACTCGCCTCGACATTGCCTTTGTCAGCAATATTGCTCTTAAAACGTGAAGTTTCTTGATCAGCGTCAATCCTTTGAGATACTCTCTTCCCAAATAATCGCCCTTCGATATCTTCTATTGTTTCGTTTGCTTCACGATCATTGCCAAGTCCAGCTGGTGTTGGTGTTCGCTTCAATGCATCCTCGGTTTGTTTCGTAGATTTAAACTGACAATCAATATTTTCACTTTTCTCTGGCTTATCTGCACTAGAAAGACTGGATTGTTTCGTGAAGCCATTATTGGTATACATACTGTCTTGTCGACCTCGGAGGATGTCCAAATGATCGTTTTCTAAACAGTCTTCGCCACCAGCATTTGAATCAGCACTCTCTACATTTTTTTGTGTTCGAGACGCATTCTCGCCCTCATTTTGAGACCTGACACCTGTCGAAGAATGAGATCTCTCGTGCATCTCTACCCGTTCAATTATCGGTATGTCAAATGTGTCGTGATCCTCTGCTACTTCATTCCCCTTAAGTGAGAGCCCTGTAGACTTTTCAGCGGATAAATTCTCCTTGTCAGCTGCCTCATCGTCGATTGCACCTGAAAATGTTACTTGTAGCTTCTTCCCTTTAATAGACACCTGCATATCTCCCACTGCATGTGTCAATTGAAGTAATTTTTGTTGAAATGCTGATTTCAAAGGGGTAATGTTCGCGCTACTAGACAGCATGTCAGAATACCTTTTATCGATACCAGAGGGACTGGGAGGAATATCGTGATCGTCAACATCTTGACTCGCAGGTAACTTTTCTTTATTTTGCAGTGTCTTAGCATTTTCGATGACAAGGCCAGTGACATCTTGATCCAAGATTTCGTGTGATTCGTTCTCCTTTTGTCCATTTACGTTTTTATCAATCTTCATGTCGTTCTTTTCAACCACTTCGGATATAGACTCGCGCGACCCACTTTGTTGGCTTTGATGGGACCCAGTTGCTGAAGAGGGTCGAATAGTTTCTTTCTTTGAAGCCAGAGGCTTAAGGTTAAGATCCGGTGGCATCCGCCAATCTGCAACTTGTGCTTCCAAGGCTGCCACATTAGCAGTTTTAGATACTGACGGGTTTGTTGACGACTTCAGTTCTGCTTTGACAGGATTAATAGCAACTCCTAACTCGTCGTCGGAATCATCATTCATCCAATTATCGCTAAGCTTGTTGGTACTTGCGGTTGCATGCGCTTTGAGCACCGGTGGAGCATGAAAGTCGTCGTCATCCTCATCCTCCAGTCCCGAGTTTCTCATCCCTTGAAAATAATTCTTCATTCTTTTGTCAAAGCCTCGAGCCTTGTTCTCCATTTGAGCTCTACTCGATATATACGTCTCAGTATCAGAAAAATTATCTTCACTACTCGCCAGCAAGTCTTCATCGTCCAAAATTGATGTCGATTTCCTAAATCTCACTTTCTTTCGCCGTTTTTCAACTTCCTTTAATGAGTTGATCAAATCATCTCGAGACGAGCGTAGCTTTTCCGCTTCACGTCGATAACGACGTGCCATCATCTCAATAGCAACATCTGACGGTGATTTTCGCAAAAATGCTGAAGCTTGAGCAGATGTGCGACGGATTTTGTCAAAAGACGTGAGTAAGGGTGGTGGGACACCTCGACGTGGTGCAAGTCGAGATCCTTGACGAGAACGAAACTCATCATGAGTTTCTTGTAAGAAATTTGTGCTAAGGTTAGCATTGGCAGCTGCGTACAAGCGCTGCCAAGCAAAGTACAGTGGAATTTCTTCCTGAGACGATAAATCACGACGTCGCAAATACTCTCTAGCATCGCGCATTGCCGCTTCGTAAGACGGCAGCGACTTATCCATCGTGACACAGAAGAAAATGTGCGCGAGTCGAAATCTTAAAAATTCTTCAATTAGATTGATCAAGTTTCAGCCATGACAATCCAAATCAAGAGCTGAGTTTGCCTTTCATTCCATTTCGAACATGGTTTTCACGCGTAATCGCATGACTTAAGATAGCTCGTAGCTGTTCGGTGGTCAACATAATACCTTCGAAAAAATTGGGATTTAAGCTAAGACTATAAAGTTTTGTAGAAGATTTCAATGTCACATTACGACGATTCGGGCGATAGCGCCGATTATTTGCACTGCATTGATGACTCGAGTGAAGAAGATTGCGGGTTGATCGATGCATTTCAGCAGTTTGAGGCGCAGGTAGTTGAATTGATTCGAGTCCTTAGCGGTTAACTTATACTTTTTAATGCTGGTATCAGGCGGAAAAGCGGACATTGGATCTGCTTACGACTACCGATGAACAAGTGAGTGTGTTGTCATGACTTGAAACGTTTTTCGTTGCTAATTCTATGCTGTTTCAAGCTATTTGATAAATCACATCCGACAATTGAAAAAGCTACGAAGACACCAGACTATCCTGCGTACATGTACATGAGCGACCACTTTCGACTTAAGAAACCTCCAAATTTTCAGCACTGGCAGCAAAATTTTCAGTACTTGCGGGTTAAAGGATCGAATATGCTGGAAGAATCGCTGGATCATATTCAGCTGGTGCCGATGGAAAGAAAGGAATCAAACAAAGTATTGGATTATGTTAACAATGTGGAGCTACAAGTGAAAGGCACTGCGTGTTTTAAAATACCGACGGCTCCTTTCCGTGAGTGTTATGAAGAGATCATCTTATGGTAAGGAGTCGCTTTGGAAATATGTCGATATTGAGTGGCTAATGTGGTGTGAGGTCAGTGATGGGGTGATGGAAGAACAACTACAACTTGACGAGAAATCGAAAGATGAAAAGCCCGAGCATGGCGGGATTTCTCTTCATGCTACACTCGTCGAAGAAGTTTTAGATTTCTTGACGATTAAGTTTTTTTCTTCCACGGTAGTTCCAATGGTACCAAAATACGATGCACCTAGCAATGTCAAGATTCTGACTTCTTTGTGTTAGTTGACTTTGCTTTCTCAGACGTTAGTGGAAAAGCAAGACCAGAATAACCAAGCTGTGCATGATATTAGGGAATGTACTGAAGGTACGATGGAAAAGCGATTAGCCTTTAAACAGACACAACATCTTGAATTAGAAGAAGAGGCCGAAGAAGACGCTGAAGAATCGAGCCAGCAACAATTACATGGAGAAGAAAAGTGTAAACGAATGCGACAGTTTCAAACGTTTATTATACAGGAGAAGGATGGAGAGGTGGCGTTGGCTCACTCTGTTCAGAAGGAAACATGTGGTTCGAGGCGTGACCGTCAGTTGTGAGTTTTCTAGCTTTACCAGTTGTGACTTTATCATCAATTGGTGACCGTAAATGAACTGCAGGATGCCTGGACTTCGTCCTAAGGTGACTTGCTTTGAGAATGCTTGCTCACTTTGACGATAGAATGACTCGTTGCATTCCAATTGTGATCTCTTAATCAGAGAACGAAAGAAGATTCAATTGATAACTTCCGTAAGCATCATTTGACCCGAACCAACAGTCGCCGAATAAAGCAGTTTAGTACTCATTGCAAACCTCAGTCTGATAAGCACACTGGTCGGGCTTTGACCGGCGATAACGTGTGCGATAATTTTCGGATGAAAAAAATCGCCCAGACTTCCGTCTACACTTCAGGTTTTCCAGACTTACTTTATCAAGGGCGTAGACGAAAAGAAAGCAGTGATCGTTGCAAATTGCCAAGTATTCCGAGATCTCATTCGAAAGCGATTTGATATCAATGTCCGAACTTATGTATAAAACGAAGCTTTAAGCTGTCACATGAGTTGAAATAGGCGAAAGTATTGTGGTGGTTCAAACATAAAAAGAGATCAACTTGCCGAATTATTCGCGCAAGAAGACAGCTGCAGCGCCCATGCCCGAGCCAACACACATTGAAATAACCCCATAGTGTTGGTTTGTTCTTTTGAGCTGATACAACAGCGTTGCTACCTGACGAGCACCCGTGCAGCCTAAAGGGTGGCCCAGTGCAATAGCACCTCCTTTCGGATTGACTTTTTCAATCGGAATTTTAAGCTCCTTAATGCAATACGCTGCTTGACTAGCAAATGCCTCGTTAATCTCAAATACATCGATTTGATCTATACTCAAATTCGCTTTTTGCAACGCCATTGGAATAGCATACAGCGGTCCCACACCCATGAGTGCAGGAGGGACACCAGTGACGGCAAATGACACAAAGTGGCCAAGAATCGACAGTCCCATCTTATCAGCTACTGAACGACGCATCATTAGTACCGCAGCAGCACCATCACTGACTTGACTCGAGTTGCCAGCTGTAGTCGAACCATCTTTTTTAAAAGCTGGACGGAGTTTTGCTAACTTTTCCATGGTAGTGTCAGCTCGCACACCATCGTCTTGAGAGATAACAATTGACCTCTCGTTGCCATCAAGGTCCTTGATAGTCGTAAGCACAGGTGTGATCTCCTCATCAAACCATCCGTTGGTCTGAGCTGTTGCTGCTTTAGTGTGAGATGATAATGCTAGCTTATCCTGCTCAGAGCGTGAGATATTAAATTTCTCGGCTACGTTCTCGCTTGTAATTCCCATGGGTACTGTGCAATCCATTGCATCTTGAACCGCTCCAATGTGCTGCCAGTTGACAGTCGGGACATCGTCTCCGATTCCAGATAGTGACATGGATTCAACACCTGCAGCAATACCAATATCGTAATACCCCGCTTTTATAGCCGCTGTGACATCAGCTACAGCCTGTAGACCAGAGCTACACTGCCGGTTTACCACGTGTAGAGGCACTGTATGTTGAATACCAGCCGCTAGTTGAGCCATACGCGCCATACCAGCTCCCGCTCCAGGCTGCAATACATTGCCGACCACTATATCACCTACGAGCTCTGGGTCCACCTTGGCTTGCTTAAGTACAGCTTTGAGCACGTGACTAAGTAGCACGTCGGGTGTAGTATCTTTAAAGCCGCCACGATGGGCTTTAGTCATGGGTGTGCGCAATGCTGACACAGTGACTACGTCGTCATTAGGTGTTATAGCTCTGGGTGTGCCGGTAGCCATGTGGGATCGGATACGGTTGATACGTTCCATGGGCTAGAGTTTATAATGATTATATGATGATGTAAGCATCTTTAGAACAGTTGGCGTAACAGAAGTACAATACACCAATATGACCACACTTCTCAATTGGCTCGTGAGGGTGTTAACGATACTACAACAGTCATGCGTCTTGATACAGGGACAAAATGCTCTATTGAACAGCGTGAAGTGTTGAGTCTTCTGGATCTATATGATACCATCCTATGTATGACTTGGGTCAAAGGACACGACGTATGAATCAATGGAAAGATAAAAAAGCTAGCTCCCACGCGCCTTACGCACGCTCTCGTTGTGGGGCTATGACATATCATGAGCCCAATTTTACCAGAAAGTATAAGCGCTTTCGGCGCGGGTATGAAGCTGCGATAGCTTTGGTGCAGAACTTGAGCTGACTCGCAATAATATAGCTCAGGGCATGGAGCAGAATGAAGGTAATTCGCGGGGTCCAGAGTGTTTATCTGATAACGCAGCTATTAGCAGCTTTAAGATGATGTAGAACAGACGAAGAGTAGACGTGACTAGACGTCGCGGTCTCCCATTGAAGAGCCGACGGAGTTGATAAGCGACTGTAAGTCTCCGTAGAAGTAGCAGACTCTGATTTGACTGCGAATGAATCATCCTTGTCACGATGTAATGGCGCGGTTACTTCAACACTGCCGTGAGACGCGCTCGCCGCGCGAGAATGTGAGGTCCTGGGGTATGTGGCCAGAAAAGTATTGCGCTTGAAAATAGAGTTCCGGAAAAAATTTGGAGGTCTCAGTACCCGCCAATCATTGCCGGGGAAATCTCTCATCTAGCCTGCAAAGTTATACCTAGGCAAACAAATATTGCGCTCGCGAATGGAGTTCCGAAGAATCTTTGGTGGTCTGAGTATACGCCAATCATTGTCGGGGAAGCTCTCACTTAGCCTTTCGAGGTTATACCTAGGGAGTATTTATAAGGCTTTGCAAAACAGCTAAGTCGCTAAATTGTACGGTCAGTACTGGATGCATTTGATTCCATCATCCGCCATGGGGGTCTATTGGTGGGAACACTCGCAGAGCACTGATTCTGCGGGGGGAGGAGTGGGATAGCTGCTCTCACGAATCCCGCAGACCATTCAATTCCTTGTTAAAATAATATCACGACATGGTGAAAGGGGTTTTACCTTGGGTATGGCTCCCAAATCAGAATACGCCAATAGAGTGACCTGGTTTCTTAAGCCAAATACTGCGTCAAAAGACAATAGTAATTGAGAACATCGTGACGACATGCACACCTTTGTCCGTGTGGAGTATAAAGCGGGTCGGAGAGAGAGGGTACACTTTCATTTAGCGCTAACATACTTTGTCGGAAAGGCTGAGAAGAGTTAGCGGGTTGTGCTCGCTTATAATGAGCCAAACATCGACACACATCGGGCACAATCGCCAATTCTTAGGGATAATATGCTGTAGAATCTACAACCTAATTGCTGGGGTATCAACTGTTTCTTCAACGGCGATAACCCTTTCGCCGCGGTGAGTACTTCTAAGGGATGCTCAGGGAGTGAATGGTTATGGAACGTGGACTATTTAACGAGAAAGTGACATTTTATCTTTAAGTGAGTAGCTGTTAAGGCCACATCGCACCTATCCCAACCTATTTTGGTGGCATAGCCGTGCAAAGCACGAGGAATTGGATGTGGACAGCCACATTACACACTTGCGAACAGCACTAGAGAAACAGATATCTATATCGTCGTCAAATTTCGTTTCGAGGGCTTCATTCAAGCTCAAAAATCAAGATCGCTACAGATAAGGTCAATGCTTTCCTCTCAGTAAAATTTATGAAGAAGCTGTGCCATGCCAGCTACTTATCAAGTATAGCTCAGCTTATGCCGACATGCGCATTCCCTCACCGATCATTTATAAGCTATCAAGATCCTGGAACATGTCAAATGAAGCGGTCTTTAGTGCTATAAAAAACCAATGCATGATTCAACTCTGGCTCTTTCGAATACAGATCGGTCATGATAAGTCATCTGCGATGATGTATTTTTTCTGACAGAATATTCCTTTCACCAAGCAAAGGTCGCTGAGAAGATCGCGTAATCGTGTGTAGGGCTGACCAATTTAGAGCAAAAGATTGACTTTCCTGTTCAAGGCATAGGTAAACTTTCGATGTAGTATGTCCTCGTCAAGTTTGGGGAGTCCCTGCTTGGCCCTTGACCTTTTGTGTTCTATACTGATCAGGTGTCGCTGCACACAGCAATGTTATCACCACATCTCTTGCAGATGGTAGCAAGACGGCTATCATACATGTTCACAATTGTCAGACAAATCGCGTTAAACGCGTTGTTAATGTATTCCTTTGAATACATTAACAACGTTCATAGCGACTGCAGGTTTGCACGTTCATAGCGACCGCAGGTTTGGAGCAAGTTGCTCCCTCTCAATGATTTCACATCAAATAACGCCACACAATTCCTTAGATTCCTTTTATTAATGATTTAGTGGATATCGGGGTCTGTTTTTACATCGTCTTGGGGGCTGCTTATTTAATCTGGTTCGATGACATCACTTCGAGACAAACTCACAATCTTAATCCTAATGATATTGAACGTCAGACAACGGGTGTGTGACGTTATGGTTGGCCGTCAGAACGTGCAAAACCAGCATACCAATGTTAGAGGTAGATGAAACACGCATTTGTTTTTAGGGAAAGATATAGTATACTCTTTCACCTACCTACACATGCCGTGTCGATGATCAATAATACTAGTTGTGATCGTGCTACATCTAACCGCTCACGACCTAAGCAGAAACTTAAGCTTGCTCTTGGTACCCCAAAGATATCCTGCGCACTACCTGGGCATATATAGCCAAATCAGATTTTATGAGCCCGACGGATGTGAAGAGCCATATCAAAGACGGAGCAGTGTCTCCCCATCCCATGTCATTAATCTATACTCTGAAGCAGCGACGCGCTTTCAAAAAATTGAGGTTTTAAGCCACGCATTGCAATGGTGGAGCTCGGAAGGTGCATTAAAAAATAGCCCAAGATATTATTAGTCGCCCGCAGAGGCTCTGTGTCGCCATAAGTAGGAGAACTCAGGTAAGCCAGTCGCGGGAAGGTCTTCCGCTGCCTGTACTAATTGATCAGCACGCAGCAATCTTTGACCGGCGGGCAGATATACCATATAATCAGGTAAAATGAATGTGATGCACTCAGTCAGAACTTGCGGGGGTTTGAGGTCCACTTCAGCAAGAGTGTTATCACGCCGTTGCTGCTTACGGCCTTATCTTTATCTCGCCAATATAAAAGGAAGAGTCGCTCAGTACAACGCACTCTCAAGAGCGAGTAGCCCTCACCTCAATTCAATTTTGCAACTGGATCCATTGCTAGTTTATTTAGCCTCAGACTTACAGAGATGTGCCCGAAGTCAGCAAGAGCCTGAATTGCTAAGTTTTTATTTCAACGTCCACGTCATGCCTTCAACCACTAAACGACGTTCCAGCATGGCGTCTGCGTCATAAAAGCTGATTTGTAAATCTATAATACGAAAGAGGTGACCCAGTGCGCGAATCAAGCGCAATTCTATCGCAAGCATTCAGTACTAAAGGCTCGGTCTAAATGAAGAGTATGAACGTATTCGACCGCTACTACTCCAGGCGTTGATGGTGCTCCTTTAGTGTGGTGCCTGAGGGAACAGATAGCGCTTAACAAGTGCTAAATTCTGCTTGTATGTTTAGTAAAAGCCACGATGCGTATGTGTGTAAGCGCTCGGCCACAGATCACGATCAAGTTGGCACGGAGTTTGCTAAAGCCGTTGCAACTGTCGCATTTGCAGAGTTCAAAACTCGGCTTGCTGAATTAGATCCGGTTTAACGAGGGGGAGGTTGGCTTTGGTTCCGAAATAGAGTGTCGTGACATTTTGTGTTGTGGAGAACGGGCTCAGAGATCGCAGTCGGTGAGGAGGAGAGGCACGGCCAAGATACCTCCCATTCAACTGACGGGTTTCTTGGTGATTATGAAGATGCTGGATCGGAGATTCCCATGATCTCATTTATGAAAACATTGGCTTCCTCAAATAAAATGGCTTTACAGGTGTCGGCCGACAGGCTCTTCTCTACCGCGCCTTTGCCAAAGAATCATTGAGTCGTGTAGACAGACTTCAATATGGATATGGCTAGTAGGAGCGGGCACTGTGAGCGATATATTTAAAATTTTGTCTTCCGGATCGTTCGTACCTAAGTCTTATGGCTGTTCACTGGGAGCTTTGATAATTCTACACCCCCTCAAGCAAGGTACTGTGTGCCAACCCACTTCATATGCACCTTTCTTCCATGGAAAAGCCCATCACATCAAGCATCCATGGGAACCTGGTGCTCAAGCTTCTCACCCTAAGAAATAATACCGAGCATCTGAACATTAATCCTACCGAGTGCATATTACTTAATATTACTGACGCTATCTAATCTATCAAAATTCGTGTGGTCAACATTTGTCCACTGAACAATGAACTTCGAAGCCCTCTTTCCACCGCTGATACAAACTCCGACCGAAGGCGCTCAGGATAATTTTGACTCAGTCGACATCAGTGTCAACGATATCCTGCTACCTCCATTAGAAAAGTCCGTGGACGATGGAATTTATCAAGCGTTGAGACGTTGGAACGAAGGTGACCCAGCGGTGACGGACAAGGCGCTGCTTTCCTCAGAACGAATCAAAAAATACCGTCGGATCGCTGCGCTTGCGCTGCAAAGTGATAGTGCACTAAATTTTGAAAAGGACGAGCACGCAAATGAAGAGAAAGAGTCCGAGAACGATCTAATCGAAGAGGTAGATCGAGCAACAGCAGTGGCCAAGCAGAAGGCAGCCACAGCAGCTTTGAGACAAAAGAAGAAACAACAGAAAAAACGAAAGAAAGAAATAGAAGAAGAGCGAGTGCGGCTTGAATCTGTTCTGGTTGAATTAAAAGATATTGACAGTTTAAGGGCTGAAAGGGTACCAAGTGAACGTATTCAGTCATTTGTGAACACATTTAAGATCAAGAAGCGACGATTGGCGCAAAAAAGATCAATGGCCGACACGATCACAGCCATGAGCTTTGATTCTGCACGTCCAGTGCCAAATATCGAACAACAGGAGAGAATGGAAGGGGGAGAGACGAAGGAGAAGAAGATTTTTGATGATTTAATGGACAAAGACCCGATCTTATGGTTTGACGTATTGCATCCAAGCAAAGATCCTGCCAGAACGCAATCCTTTCTTGTGCGGTTATCACAGAAGATTTCGGATCTTGTAGATCTCGTTGTCTGTGCGAATGATGAGAGATTAATCGAGCACGCAAAAGTTTCAAAATTCGTGTATTTTAGTAAGAAAATGTTCATAGATCGGCGTGTTTCAGATAGTTTGGATTACTCGGAGCAGATTATCCGATGGATTCAAGCGAAGCCGGAACGTCAATCAAAGTATGGTACTTTTGATAAAAAGGCGCCACAGAATCTTCACACATCAACTTTTGCTGATTTAGAGCTTTATATTGATGTACCGGGAGTATACATTCATCAAGGCGAGTGTGAGCACTTACTGCGACTGCGAGATGCACGATTGCCGCATGAACTGGACGCACCAATGAGTAGTAACCTTTACCCTCTTCGTTTGCCGAATCCACTAAGCCATACGCTACGCAACTGCTTAATTTGCCAGAACTACAGCGCCAAATTTGTCTGTTATGGAGATCGTCTAGCCACAGTAGACCCAATGTTTTACTGCAATCGCTGCTACCAGGCTGCCCATTACGATGCCAATGGTAAGTTGCTATACGACGACTTCTTGAGCTTTCCATTTGTCCAAGACTAGTCCATTTTGCCAAAAATGGAAGGTTAGCTGCACATCATTTGCTGTTATGGAAATTTGTCATGATCGCCGTAGTCATTATAGGCCGTTCGTGAGGCCTTGGAGAATTTCGTAAGGGCAAGAACGCCGATGCTACACGAAGCGCTAACGACAAACATCATGTCGAAGTAGCGATGAAACACATTGAACTCTATCTCCCCCAGCACTTCATCAATCCGCTGTCTACAAAGAAATATAAAGAAATTGACAATCGTTAGCGGACGAATTGTGCTGACTGGATCTATTCCATGACGAACCGATGCAAAGGACTGAGATTCATTCGCATGAGTACGAAGGAAGAGATGAAGTACATTCCCGTGAGATGAGCAAGCCAAAGCACGACACTGTTTGACGAAACCGTGCTAGAGTATGTGCGAAAGAATTTCAGCAGCGTGACAAGAAACCCCCGCGTTTGTGTAAAAACAAGAATACCCACAAATCCAAGAGATGCAATCTCCGACAAAAATCGAATATTTAATTGCTCCGCCAACGATGGCCAAATATACAAAAGCTTCTCCACAGCGTCTGTGATCGGGTCTTTATCGCGATTTCTTCGAAACACAACGTTCACTGTGCTCATGAGCATCTTGTACATACAAAACGCAGACATTACATAGCCAAAAAAGTTAAATATACGGCCTCGCACGGTCCTCGCTTTTTGTGCTCTAGCCTGTACATTTCGTAAATCATTCACTTCTAGAAACAATTCCCGTCCAAGACTTTCCAGCGTCAAAATTTCCGCTTTTAGTACCTTGATATACGTTGTATCGTCTTGCTTCAAAAAGAGATTTAAGAAAGAAATAATGATTGAGTTTTTCTTGCTTGCATCAGCTTCATCTTGTCTCCTCACTGAAGCACGTAACTCTAACGTCAAACGTTTTTTCTTCGCAATCAGAATTTCCAAATTATGACGCAGCCTTTTCTCTAGAAATTCGATGTCTTCCTCGGCCACTCTTCGCCAGAAGAAAGTCATGTACTCGTATGGACAATTGACAGCACCAAAACCCGATAGTAGCGCCATAAACATCACTCCTAGTAGACTCACACGACTCACAAAGTTGCGAATGGAGAGGAACGCTAAATAGAGTAGCAACAAAGACTCAAATTTAGTTACAAAAACGTCAAAGAGCTATCTGCAATCGTTATCTTACCTTCGACTGACTGACGTGGTAAATCTTGTTCGAGCACATCGCCGAGTTTCCAGAAGCCGTAAAGGTAGAATGCAAGTAATGCAGTGGCTGTTCCTGCTGCTTGACGTCTCGCTACACCATACTCCCTTGCAAGTGCATAGAAAAGAGATAGTGGTAATACGAGCACAACTAAATATGTCATCGCGATAAGATCGACACGCCAGACCCATTGACGACTGCCCACATGCATCACATCCGTAACTTCGAATAGAACCATTTGGAAGATACTCAGTGAAAACGTCAATGTAGCGGCGAAAAGCAACGGAGTGGCAGCATTCCGCACGGCATAATCACGAAAAAGCCACCATGAAAAGAAGAAACGAGCGAACAGGAAGAAGAGTAGCCAGCTACCAAGCGCCAAGGTCACGTCCGACGTTGGCAACGTCATAGTTTTGATAAGATGTTGTGGGACACATCAAATGTATGTGTTCCACCATATTTTCTTATTGTCCTGACATAAACTTCATCACATACAAGATCCGGCAGCAAAGCCGCTCAGCTCTCGAATAACACGCTGCTAAGATTAAAGCAGTTTGATGCAAGACAGGCGACAGTTTATAGATTAGTACGAGAATGTCCGGACGTATATGTTATAGAGCAGTGCAACCATAAGTTTGGTGCGTTAGGTACAGTTGGAGTCTTCTGAAAGCTTCCAACATCTTGCGTCTTGACAATGAGCTTTGGAACCATTTGACATTAGAGTGGTTTCAATACAATTACGTGTTTAAGAAGGCAGAGAAAGCTGCACATAGCGATTTGTACTTAACAGCGGATCTTTTCACATTCAAGTCTAAATCTGATGGAGAAGTTAAGAAACTCTTTGCCTTAACACACTTGTCACTTAACCTTTGCATTGATGCGCTTAGCACAGTGAGATAAATTGCGCAAAATTTTAGATCTTAATGAAATCTTCCTTGTCTCTATGTACAACACTCGAGATTGACAAGATCAGTATTTCCTATGGTGGGCTCTACAATGCTCGTGCTTACCACTCCGTCGTTATTCCGTTTCGTCATGACTTTCATCGACGGGGTACCAGGTCGCGTCTTGTCTCTTATAAACGCGCTTCAACATGACCAACATCGCGTTCCATGGTCTGCCACTGGTTTTCTACCTCGAGATGCCATTCAACGTGGGGATTTGGACACACTACGTCACTTGTATCGTCTGTCGACCACAAAAACGTACAAGTTGCGGCCGGAATTATCATTTGATGGTGCTGTATGCTTTGCTATTCAACTTGGACGATTCGAAATGGTTCAATATCTAGTCACGATAGCGATGCAAGACAAAACTGAGCACTTTACTGATCAAATTGGAGGTAGTACGCTACTTGGGTGGGCAATTCGATACTCTAACGTTCTTAAGTCGGAACATAAAGTGGAAATTGTTGAGTGGGTAGCTAAAATATACTCAAAGTCAGCGTTAAAAGATGTCAATGCCGACGATTTAAGTCGTGCAGGGATTTTCGTGCTAACGTTTTTGAAAGAAAGAGGTCTGGCGACGACTGGATTTACTGATCCAAAGCTGGTAGATCTCGTAGCTGGTGGTGGCAATTTGGTTGTATTGAGATTCTTATTTGAGAGGGAAAACGAAGATAGGCAAGTGCCGCGATGCACATCGGATGCTATGGATAAAGCAGCAATGAATGGACATCTACAGATTGTACAATACTTGCATGAACAGAGTATTGGAGGATGCACCGTTGCAGCAATGGATGGTGCAGCAAAAAATGGGTATTTGGACGTCGTGAAATTTTTGCACGCACAACGAAGTGAAGGATGTACTGTTTCAGCGATGGATGGAGCTGCTCGCAGTGGACATCTTGAGATAGTTACTTTTTTGCATACAAATCGAAGAGAAGGCTGTACGACTGCTGCAATGGATGGGGCAGCTACGAGGGGATACCTTGAGATTGTGCAGTATTTACACGAACATCGCAGTGAAGGATGCACGACAAATGCAATGAATGGTGCAGCTCAAAGTGGACACTTAGATGTGATAACATATTTACACAACTTTCGTACAGAAGGCTGTACGACCGATGCAATGGATGGTGCTGCACTTGTGGGAAATTTGTCAGTGGTGAAATTTCTACATGAAAATCGAAAGGAAGGATGCACTTCAAATGCAATTGATGGGGCTGCTTGGCGAGGCCATTTTGATGTAGTTCAGTACTTGGTGAGGCATCGATCAGAGGGTTGTACGTTTCAAGCCTTGGATACTGCTTGTCAATCTGGCAATTTAAACATTGTGCGTGTTCTACATGAAAACGGAGATGCTTCTTGCACAACTAAAGCGATGGACAATGCTGCAAGCAGTGGGCATCTGGAAATTGTGCGATATTTGCACGAAAATCGAATCGAAGGGTGTACGAAAGACGCCATGACAAATGCAGCGATTCACGGGTATGCTACAATTGTTCAATATCTCGGTGAGCACAGGCACGAAGGTGCGCATGAGTATACTCTAGAACGAGCTGCAGCATTAGGGAATGTGCAATGTGTGGATGCACTTCTTCGATACTCTATCCAAGGATGTCTTTTTGAAGCTCGTTGTGCTGCACTAGATGCTGGGCATTCTCGTGTCGCCATCCTGTTGTCTGCTTGGATTAATCCCGACGTTCAGACATGTTGTTTGAGAAAGTATCACGTACGTCCAGGCCCTCGATGGTGTCAAAAACCACCTCGAAGTGAGAAATCGTTTTCCGTCACGAAACAGACGGGCAATGAGTCCATGACGTCTTGTGTTGTGACCCTTTTAAGGTGGTTTCAGTGACTTTAGATCATACAACGAAATTTGAGACTCAGTAAAGCAGCGACTTCATTGTATACCAATTCCAGCAATTGTGTGAGCTTGTTGTGATGCCATTTTAGAAAAGAGCTTTTGGGCATTAGAATACGTTTGCGCTCAATTCACGACGGTTCTGTTCACATTGTACTCATCTAGCGCTGGACCGCATGGTGATTATTAAAATGCAGCCGTTGATAATAGTTATTTCACGTTCATACGACTAGCGGATGGCTAGTCATTGTTCGAAATTCCTGCTCGCAAGGACAATATTTTTGTGACTATATTATTTAATTAACGGAGCAAGCAGTCTCGGTTTCATGTGATGGTAATCCGAATAGCATTCCACAAGATGGCGACTATTGCATTATTGTTCGTGTCAATTCGGGAAGTAACGCGTATGTTTAGCCTTACACTTTGCAGCAAACACCAGTGGATTTCAAACATCAAAAATGACAAGTTGGCACACTTTCTCTCTTCATTTAACAATAAAAGTTCTACTTTATCCCTGCGTGCGTTCACTCTGATAAGGATCTTTCGTGAGAATTACCGTCGTCGTGGGCAATGTAACCGGGCGCTGTAATATGTCGCTCGAGATTATTTTCGCTATTTTCTCTGGAAGAATAACCGCTAGTGCTTCCGGGCTCGATAAACTCAACGAGATAAGTATCCATCATTGGAACGTTGGTGAAGTTAATCTTGCGATGAAAAGTGCAGCGAATATCATTCATATCCTTGACCACTTCTTGTACAATGGGACTCACGAGTATCTTCTCAGGTACGCCATTAGACTCAAGCTCGTTTGCAGTAAGTGCATCAGGGCCCCACATGTCATAACGTAACGTGGTCGTCCCGATTACTCCACCAATTATATTGCCAATATGGATACCGATACGCATCTGCAAGCGCTCACCCGTATTCGGGTCTTGCACCTTACGCACTTCTTTGTGCATGTCACGAGCCATGGCTAAAAGGTCTCGAATGTGGCAGCGCAACTGCATCCGATGTTCATGTTTCAACGTACCTCGTCCTGCAAGATGTGATGGCACCTTGGCACCCGAGCCTCGCGGACTAACATTCTGTCCATCTACTTGGTCGCTTTTTCTATCTGAAGGTAGTACGCGGTTACTCGACAATCGTAAAAAGCCCGATGCAATGCCGCGATGATTCGCGGCATCTGCGATGGACATATCAGTAGTGCTAGCAGAGCTTGTGACTAAACCGCGTCCAAGACTCATATCCACATATGGGAGTCCTGATACAATCACGTACGCGTCTCCAATTGTCTGCATCTTGAACACTCCATGTTTTTCAGTGAGTTTATCAAAGGCACAGAAAAGTGAAGCGAGGATATTAACCACTTGAGCAGTAGCAGCTTGTGACGCAATGGACGTAAAGCCCTTGATATCGGAGAATAAAATGCCGACCTGTTGGTGTTGATCGCATACCATTTCTCCTTCTTTCAACCGCATGACCACAGCTGCTGGAAGCATTTGATACAACAAACGATCTGCATTCATTGTTTCAAATTGCGTCCGTGTTTTCAACCAAATTTGACGACGTTTGAAAAATTCGACACTTTGAGCTGCAATGATATTGGCGACCACGGAAAAATACGTGAGTACAATTGGATAACTTACTTTGAATTTCGAATTAAATTTCGCGGCGTCTTGATGATATCGCTGTAATGAAACTAATGTCGTGATAGTTACTATGACCAACGCAATGACGTTAAAGACGACAACATGACGGTACAATATAGACCTCCCGTTTGACACGACAAACATTGCAAGGACGGTATCGAGACACAAATTGACATAGCGAGGTGAGGTATCAATGTCTGCTTCATAATTTAGTCTCCATAATAATGCTTGAGTTATCGTGAATACAAACAGTCCCACGAGATAAAATCCAAGAAGAATGGTACGCAATTTTGCCTCAGAATAAAAGACAAATTCATCTCGTACTTGTCGTGCTACGAGAACTGCGACAAAGGCAAAGGGACTTCGTGTCAGGAGTAAAATCACGTACATTGTAGCTGAAATATTCTTCTGAGGTGCGTTGATAGAAATGACAGAGAAAACTTCGACCACCAAGTCACGCATGCACGTAAACGTTGCGTACAGTGCAAGTGCAAGAAGAGTTGTACGAGCACCATCGATACGTGTCGATAATGTACTCTCGAGGTATTTTGTCTCCATATCGTCGTCTTTGAATTGTAGCGTCAACAAGCGAATTTCAGTAAGCATGTGCTGTTTTGCACTCTCACTCGTGTCTGTTTCACCCCATGATGCAAGGTCAGGGGGGGTACCTAGAAGCAGTTGAATTGGATTAAACTTCTTCCATTTTTGTCGAGCTGAAAGTAAAAGTTTCGTTCGAGTAGCGGTCAAAAAATCTTGTTCAAAGGTTCGACGTAACCTCTTAACCGACTTCGACAGCATTACAGAATCTCGGTCGGTTGACTCTTCTAAGTGTCCTAAACATGACATCTGCGCTATATCAGTCACAGGATCACCCACCAAGTAGGTTGTCATGCTTCCTTTTCCTTTCACGTCCACCTGTCGTTCCGAAAAAGTAAAATGACCTACAACCTTTTGATATGTCACTTGAGAGACCTGACAATAGCCAGTTACACCTGTTGACTGCATTCGCGACGCTGTATTGACTGTGTCACCAAATAAGGAGAATTGTTGTTTCTTCATGCCAACTAATCCACTGACTACACGGCCAGAATGAACACCAATTCGTAGTTTAATGCCATTTCCATTCGACGCGCGACATTTGTCGAGACAAGCGAGCATATCAAGAGCCATTGAGACAGCTCGAAGTGCAGCTTCACGCCCTTGATTCTTGCCTTGGAGTCCAGCACAAGCCATGTATGTTTTTCCCACTGTTTCCATCTTTCGAACACCATGCTTTTGACAAATTTGATCAAAAAGAGAGTAGACACGATCCAGTAATGATACGACTTCAGTCGGACTAAACCGGTTTACAAATGATGCGAATTCAGTGATGTCACAAAATAGAATCGTCACGTCCTGTTCGTCTTCGCTAATAAGAGTGTCCCCCTTTTGCATCCGCTGCACCACGTGTTCAGGCAGCATATTTTTCAAGATCTGAGTCGATCGTTTTTGTTCGATCAGTAGCGACCGACTTTGTAAAAAGTCACGTCTCATCGTAATCTGAAGCGAGTAACATGCGTAAGCTCCAAACATGATGACAAAGATCAAATACAATGCAAAGAGCATAAGATCGGCCACATCAACACCGTCATGATAATCCATTGAAGTTAGTCGTTCGACGAGCATGTAGAAGGTGAAATTGTAGATTGAGAGCGTCAGTGCAGATAAAAATTTGACGCGAATCACGACGAAAAGAACCACAGGATAGAGGGCAGCCGCAAATTTGCCAGTATCCGAGATAGTGAGTGTAAGAGCCATTCCAATAACGCAATACGGGATAAGAATAGCGATATGATAGTGCTGAACAAAGTACTTTGTTCGAGCAAACCGCATGAAAAGTAAGTCACATACAAAGTACCCGACGCGAATGTAAATATATGATGACTCGCGTTCCCAAAGCACTTCGTAAGCTGCGTACAAAGGAACCATAAACGCCATAACTTTAAGACAAAGCATCACACGACTGCGTTCTCGAAAAGCAAATGTGATTTCATACTCCAATTCAAGACGTTGATGTTCTTCGCCCATAAATTCCAACGTGAGCGGATGAACAGGTGGCTGGACACGGATAGCCCGGGAGCTTTGAGCGTCATCTTCCTGCAATAATGGGTCTAAGTGGCCAATCTCTCGAGCCAAGTCATGTTGAATCGACTCGAGCTGCTTAGACAGCTCATCGTGTTCAGATGGAACGTCAAAATCTCGAAATTGTTGACTCCACTCGCCTTGAAGAATTAAGGGCGAAAGTTCTCGTTTTTTCGAAAAAACTGCGTTCATTCCGCTGGAACTTCCCTCTTCTGATCTTCCAACAGAATCCGCCACTTTGGCAGTGCGAGTTGACTCTCCCCCTATTAAGTTTGGAAAAGGAGGAACGTCTCCAAATCCGCTATCAATCTCAAGAATAATGTCGTTACTAGAAGGTAAGTACATTCTTCGTAAGTACAAAACAGCCAGATCACCACAAAGACATGTAATGGACGTAAAAATGAGCATCATCCAGAACAACATTTCTGTAAACAAAAGGGTAGCTAGACCTTGAAAGTCCCGAAAGACGTCGAATGATGGAAATACACGATATGCTTGAGAATAAGCCAAAACAAACATAATGTACGCTGAAAAGCCGCCCACGAGTGACAAATAATGCGCTCGCGTCCAACGGTACAAACTCTGCATGTGTAAAGTAGCTTTAAGTGTTACTGTAAGGATCAATGCACCATAAACTGCTGTACCATCAGGAAAAAGACCATTCAAGTGACCGAAACGAGAGGAGACCTTGCTCATGGTATTCATGACAGAATAAAAGACTAATATTGAATGAAATAGGGCGTTCGCGACCCATATACTTAATCCTCGAACGCTCAGATCACTCGTTCGAAGTGAATTTCGGTACACAATTGGGAATCGCAGCACTGCACTATCTCGAATATCTTCATCCGTGATCCCCAATACAAAAATGGGCAGTACAGTGTACAATACATTCCAGCCTACCATTAAGTATGAGTCGTACAATGTCTGTCCGGAATAGCGATTGTAGAATGAGTACAGAAACAACGTCATGATGAGAGTCATGTTTTTATAAAAGGAGAACAAAATGACCAGCGCCACACGACGATGATTCCATCGTCCATGCACAAGAAGAAGTCGAGAGAGATGGCGAAAAGTGACAATGGCGAAATCAGCTGCTCGTACAGCTTGCATTCCTTCGTGTCCGTAGATACCAATGCCGACATGAGCTTCTTGGATCATACTCACGTCATTGCCGCCGTCTCCAATAGCAAGAGTTAAAGGTGCACCAGGAGCACCTTTCATCAAGCTTACCACTTGAGCCTTTTGCATCGGACTTAGTCTACATGCGACGACCGTTCTACACTGAGATGCAAGCTCAAGAAATAAATCGTGCGCCATGACCGTACGCGTTGTATGGCGATTGCTTAAAGGGATTCGAGCGGCTGAAAATGATGCACTATTGATTGATCTAAACGACAAAGAGCTTGCATCTCTTTCACTCCGAAGTCGATCAGATGTGGTCAACGTAGGAGCCACTTGATTGGAAGCGATCATTGATACGCGTGTTCTTGATTTTCTTGAAACAAAAGCATCAGTAAGTAAAAGTTCCAACGTCTCACCATTAATCACTAAAGAGATATCGTGAGAAGCCACACCAGGGGCCCAATCACCTTCCCGCTTAAGCTTTCGCCTTGCTTTAGCAATCTCTTCGAGACAATCTTGTTTTGTCTTCCCTTTAATTATTACAATTTTACTTCTAGGACCAATTAGTCCACACATGTGAGCGACAGAAATCGCAGTCTCGTCCTTATCTCCTGTAAGCATCCAAATATTGATGCCACCTAAAGAAAGCTGAGATATACACTCTCGCACTCCGTCTTGAAGAAGATCTTCAACTCCCGTGGCACCTAAAAGCTTTGTCGACTTTTCAATCTGCCTCGCCACTTGAACACAAAGTTCTTCTCGATTCGACAATGCCTTTTTAGCAGCATCAAAGTCCGCTTTCCATGCCATATATTCTGCTGATGATAGTGTACGATATCCAAATAGCAAAGTTCGTAGAGCCATTGCAGCAAAATAGTGAACGTGCAAGGCCAAGTGGCTAATATCTTGGTCATCGTACGCATTAGCAAACATGACCGTATCCGCCCCTTTCGAAAATACTAAAACATCGCGTTCGTCCAAATCACTACTCAAACTATCATATTCTGTAGGTTGTAGCTCCTTACTATTCCTTCGATTTCGAGCGACGTCGAGCAAATGACTTTTTCGTGGACTTAATCTCTTCACGACCACCGACATGCACTTGCGTGTACTATCAAAATCATTCAATGCCAACAGTTGGTATGATTCAGATTGTCCAAACAAACGAATATGAATAATATCTCCCTCTCGTCGTACATAAACGCAATCAAACTCCAATGCAGCATTCAAAAGCGCAACTTCGTCGGGTGAAGAACCAAAGAACTTTCGACTTTTATCAAAGGAAGGAAATGCGTCGGTGGCTTCTGCAGCTGCCAGATTGCTCGCAAATGAACTATTTCGGCCACTTTGATACCGGATATCTGCTCGTACGCTATTGTCAATACTCTCGTTTAATGTATTACCCTTTGCACATTGTCCGTCCACATTGTCCGACAAATCTTCAATTGCTACGGACGCGGAATGACACAACAATAAACATCGAAAAAATGGACGAGCCAATTCAACTGCGCGTGACTCTTTGCCTGCGAGTCGAGACGAGTTCTCTAATAATTTAAGCATCTGTGAGTACGGTCGCACATCTTTTTCGGTTTTAAACACGTGTGAGGACTTGCGTGTGCTCTCCACACTGCTTTCTCGACATGTATTACCTCCTCGAGTCATTGACGCGATATTATAGTTTAGTACCATACCAGAGCATCCAGACTGCTCGTTTGTATTGCTCTGCACTCTTTGACGGTGAAGCATTGTCGAGCCGTCAAATATGATACCACCGATACTGCACAATTTGAACAACATTTGATTCTTGGTCAACGTTCCAGTTTTATCACTAAAAATGTACTTAATTTGGCCGAGATCTTCGTTCACATTGGAAGTACGTGCGGCCACTCCACGACCAGTGATGGGACAGATCATTTTCGGGTCTTCTTCAATTCGTCGCGCTTGATACCATTTGACCACCTCTAAACTAATATAAAGAGAAATGGGGACCATGTTATTGTAGAGAATCAAATACGTCACCCAGGCTTCAAGAAAATATGCTGGACGAGATGGGGCAATAAATGGAAACGCAGACGCACATTCCGGTCTCTTTTGTGCTTTCAGAGCAATAAGAGACGCTTGAATGGAACTGAAGCAACAGAGAGCAAAAAGAACCGAAAAGATAAGAAAAATACAGCGATTGGCAATTCGATCCAATCGACTGAACTTTGACGGTATCGACTTCATGTTTTGCACTATTTTCGTGTCATTGCCACCTCCTACAACGACTCCAATGGCCCACTTGGTATTACATAATTTCATGCCCCGAAGTAAAACATTGTCGATTGTTATAGGAATCTCTTCAGATTTGACTGACAACTCTTCGTCGTCTAAAGTTCGTGTGACTATGGATGGACGAGAAGATTCACGATTTATTTCTTTCCTTGAACGAGAAACTCGCATCACCCCATCAAAGGCGTATAATCGCTTGTTTGGTGCTTCACAACGTATTTCGCCGTGCACAGTCACACCAAATTCTTTCGGTGATTGTGGAACAATGTGCGTCCACTTTACACAATAACGAACCTTCAGATTCGACTCGCCATCAAGACTTGACGTCTCGCACATAGCTTCGCCATTATCTTGACTCGAAAATAACAAGACAATGTCAGCAGGTACTTGTTCCTGATCGTGAAGTTTAATCACATGACCAACGCACAAATTTTGCCAGCAAATCGATTGGAAATCTCCAAGTAAAGTCGATTGCGATACCGTCGAGTCTGTCCTTTTGGCTTCAACCTTGCCTAGCAATGTATCAACTTTTGCGTGATTTATCACCCAATCTTGTTTATGTCGTGCACGATCTTCTAGTCCTTCCTTGATCATTGTTGCCATTAAAACAAACGTTAAAGGTCCAATCGTTGAATACTCGTTTGTTGGCGAAAGATTTGTACAAAGTTGAAGCAGAGAAATGATGAGAAAATAAAAATTAGCTATACGACGAAATTGTTCAAAAAGGGACTTCGGTAGAAAGTTTAAAGCAGAATACTTGGAGGAATGCACAGTGTTAGCCGAGTATAAATCCATTTTATGGTGTTTCTGCATGTATAATGCGTACTCCATCGTTCGCTTCACATCGTTGATAAATAACAATCGACTTGTAGACGTCTTGTCTTTGGTTTTGAGCAGACTACTCGCAACTCGGTTACGACGAAACCAGCGACTAAAAAACGACGTTTTAATAGGCACAATAGCAGCGTCTGCAGACGATGTAGCATCGACTTTTTGAGTTTCTAGTGTCGTTGCCATTGGAATGCTGCTACTAGCCGATCGATAGCTTTGCAAAGGTAGCGGAGTCGACATGTCGCTTGCCGTGGGGCCCGCTACAAGACCTAATTGGGTGTCTCGCTCATGCATAAAATCAATGAAGCTTGACAATCGTAGCAAGTGGACGAGTAACTGCTGCTTCGTTACTTGCAGTAGCTTCGAGTGGTTTCGACTGGGTGAATCATTAAGGAGCTATTCAGAGGTTCCACTGGGAAGTATTTTTATGATTTAAGTAAGCAGTTTGAGTTTAAATATCCATGATTCGATTATATTCTTTGAGAGCAGGAGAAATGGTGCTGTGGTCATCATACTGGCTATATAGCGTCTTGCTTAAAGGAGCGTGGAAAGAGCTCAATATGAACGATACCAATTACGAGATCAAATTGAGTATTTGGGTCCCTGAAGAATCGTGGGCTTGTATCAAGAACATTTTCTCAAAGTAAGCCGAGTAGTGAAACAAGACTGAGAAGAGTGGGCAGTGTTTTGTTATAGCATCATCAGTGATTATGTCAATATCGCCGTCGTCAATATCGGCTTCGTCAGCTGTTGATGGACCGCATATGCCGCCTTGAATTCTTTAAAGGCTGCACTTTATACATCAGGAGGAACAATGCTCCAGACTTAATTATCATTCGGAGCCAGTCGCGTTAGAGCTGAAAACGGTCATCATGTAGTCTTGTGACTGCAAATGCAAAGCTCATCTTGGCCGGTAAACAGTAATCAGCACCTTATTACAGAATTGCGGGTAGGATGTAAAAATGTTATAGCGAAATCGCAAGCTTTACGTGCGTTAAGCGCTTGACGTTTCATGTCGACAAAGTACGGCGAATAAAACTTTACGGTACTCTTCCTGCGGTTGCCTTGTCATTACTTAATTTAGTAGCCTATGTGATATGTGTAGTATATCTAGGATCAACATACTAGCCCCAACATCATCAACATGAGAAGGACTAAGCTCACGCTAAGAAGATGGCAAGTTTGGCCAACATGATTGCACCGACATTTCATACGATAACTATCAAAATATATTTTAGGACTATCAATGCTTTACATAGTCAACTGATTGCGGGAGTGATCATTCAGTAGACAGTCAGTTAAGTTCCTTGGCGCACGGTAGACACATACTAAAAGTTAAAGTTTGATCTATCGAGACACTGTGGAAGCTTGGAGAATAAGCAAGCCTCCAGTAATGAACAGCTCATGGTCCCTGGCTTGCGTTATCTTGGCATTTGTTCTGCAGCATCAAACATACCTTACGGATTATCCCGATTAGAGTCCAGTCCGAACAGAGGCTGATCTCATAAAAATCAAGGACGAATAGTTATGGACGATCTACACAATGGAAGTTTCGACACTTCGTTTTTGTCATCGATTTGTGACACCCTGTCACCACTGACAGGTATGCACCGCCATTCTGATTAGAGGAAAGCAAGAAGTCATAACGTGGATTGAAGAATATGGCGGTGTCTGCCCAGGAGAGCCGATATCATAAATAAGCCTCTAGGAAAAAGCGACCAAGACTTGAGCTCCGACACGGGTGCTGCCATTTATGCATCTCTTTGCAGAGACGACATCCCAAAAAAGTATTTGCTGCGTCCCAGAACTGTTTTCTCAAGTAATATGGCTTACTACAGTCTCTCAACACGTCGTCGCACCGGCTTGACCATTCTGACCAACGAATTTTTCGTCGAGCGAGCGGCCAGCTTCATGCAAATTCTGTCAGAGCTGCG